GTATTTTGCTTGTATTTCTTCTGTCGTTAAGGTTACAGCGAAGGATCCTTTTTACGGATGCCAAATAAGGTTTTCTCTCTCCCTACGAACCCCAAGAATAAGATGAGTGGCAGTGTTTTCCCCTGTCTTCTTGCATTGGTGATACTGTTTGTTTCGCACCCTGTTTACGCACAGTCATCAACGTCGAAGCATATAATCACTTTTAACGGCACCGCATGGGGCTCCGTGGTTCAGGGCAACTCCTCTGGACTTGGTGCAGCCCTTATCACTGATATGGGAGTTCAACTGAATCGAAGCTTTGCCTTTGATACACCTATAACTGTTGATTCGCTGTCAACCTCTGGCGACCTGCAGGTTGGTGTTACGGTACAGCAAAAAGTGCTACCAACTGTAGCTGCACCGTGGCTGGAACATATATGGACCCCGAGAGAAGTGAACTCATTGTTGGAGCAGGGTGAGTTCGCCACCACGCTGGCAATGTATCCTGGACCGGATGCCTCTTCCCTCGTAAGTGTTCGAATTCCTGAAGCAGAGAAAGAACTAACCGAGTGTACCGGCGTTTGCAAAGGTATGATCGCCATGGGAGGAATCATTGTTGGTCTGATGATAATTCTATTTATCGTTGCTCTTTTGTATGTGTGCTGCGGCTGTTGGGCTAACAAAACTCAAAAGGATACTCAAATTGAAGCTCAAAATGAAACTCAAAATAAACCCACCGATAACAATGTTTGAGGCATCTGGTTATTCAACGGTCAATGGGGTAGATACATTGATTGTCTTATATTAGTCACTCGCGAAGAAATCGACTTTCTAATAAAATGTGACTTACTATTTGTTTTTATTTTTTATTTTTTTTTCTGCCGACATGTTGAAGAAAATGTGTTTAGGTGTTGCTTGAAAAGGTATGAAAAAAGTAATGGTATAATTATGTGTCCATTTTAGAAAGGGTTAAAATATTTTCTCTTGATTTTACTTTACAGAAAAAACTGACAAAAATAGTGGCAATAGAGTGAAAACAAATATGCACTTTTTTTCTATTCCTTTGATCTTGTTGATTGAGAGAAATCAAGTTAAATGTCATTAAAAATGTGCTTCCTCCACTGTGTAAGCTATGCACTTTTTCCTCTCTCTCTCTCTCTCTCTCTCTCTCTCTTATTTTGAGGGTATTTTGCTTGTATTTCTTCTGTCGTTAAGGTTACAGCGAAGGATCCTTTTTACGGATGCCAAATAAGGTTTTCTCTCTCCCTACGAACCCCAAGAATAAGATGAGTGGCAGTGTTTTCCCCTGTCTTCTTGCATTGGTGATACTGTTTGTTTCGCACCCTGTTTACGCACAGTCATCAACGTCGAAGCATATAATCACTTTTAACGGCACCGCATGGGACTCCGTGGTTCAGGGCAACTCCTCTGGACTTGGTGCAGCCCTTATCACTGATATGGGAGTTCAACTGAATCGAAGCTATGCCTTTAATACAACTATAACTGTTGATTCGCTGTCAACCTCTGGCAACCTGCAGGTTGGTGTTACGGTACAGCAAACATTGCTACCAACTGTAGCTGAACCGTGGCTGGAACACACATGGATCCCGAGAGAAGTGAACTCATTGTTGGAGCAGGATAATTTCAGCACCACGCTGGCAATGTGTCCTGGACCGGATGCCTCTTCCCTCGTAAGTGTTCGAATTCCTGAAGCAGAGAAAGAACTAACCGAGTGTACCGGCGTTTGCAAAGGTATGATCGCCATGGGAGGAATCATTGTTGGTCTGATGATAATTCTATTTATCGTTGCTCTTTTGTATGTGTGCTGCGGCTGCGGGGCAAACAGAGCTTCAAAGGAATTCAGCTACTATGAGTCCGGAAGAGGAAATTTTTGAGGCATCTGGTTGTTCAACGAGAGTCAATGGGGTAGATACATTGATTGTCTTAGAGTGGAACGTGGGTCAAATTTTTAATTAAATGGAATTATCTATTTGTTTTTATTTTCTTTTCTTTGACCCTGGGGTTTGAATGATCTTTTATGGGCGGAAACGGGTTCCATCCGCTCAGAAGAAATGCGCCTGGGCTGTGGTATTCGGCTCCCTTTAGAAATGAAAAAGAAGCAATCCTTTATTTATTTATTTTTTTTTGATGTAACGCCGAAAAATAAAATATGCGTTTATGGGAGGATCTCCGTAAATGATGTGGAACTTTTCTTGGGTGAATATTGTTCCCATTTTTCTCTTGTTTTTTTTTTTTTTTTTCCGCCCGATAGCCGGAACAACCGGGGTCCGGAGGAAAGAAATTTTGGCCGTTTGGCTTTTCTCGCTTTTGCGAGGGCAAGGTTGGTGGAAAAGAGTTTTTTTTTTGGAGACCAAAAGAAAAAAAAAAAAAAACCACCCGCGCCCCGAAGCGCACAAAATCAATGGGAATTCTGACGCCCGGGGTTTCCTTTTGCCTCCTTCTTGGGGCCGGGCCCCATGTTGAGCGGGAGATCATTCGGCTCGAGGGGCGGCGGGGCCACCCGCTTTCGCTGGGGAGGCCGGGCCCGCGTCGGAGCGGGAAGTGGGAGAAACCCGCCCCCCCCCACGCACGACGGGAAAAAGGGGATCTTTTTTTTTGTTTTTTTGTTTTTCTGGCTGTCGGCGGCTGGGGCTTCTTGGTTCGGGGGGCCGAGGACGCCATCGCCATAAGAAAGAAAACCTAGGGAAGACCGGGAATCGAACCCGGGTATTCAGAGCCACAATCTGATGTTCTGCCACTGAACTATCTTCCCGACGACAATAATACAGGTCTATAGTGAAAATGTAGTCAAATAATTTTTTTTTAAAAAAAGTTTATTAGCTAAATTTTTTTTTTTTTTTTTTTTGTCTTGCAAAGTTCTTTTTGCAAAGCGACATGGCACGTAGAGCTGTAATGGTCTATGCAATCAAAGCTGAAACAATTTGCCTTGTTGGGAGGAGGTGGTGGTGGCGGAGCTGAATGTTTCTTCTGCTACTCCACGGCGGTTTGTATGAAAGGATCATCCCCGCTTTTGAGGTTCAATGATGGCCTCTCGAATGCCCTGCATCTTCGCGCTCCCGGGAAATCCCGAACTGTTTGTATTATCCGCATTCTGCTTGTAAAGCTTTCGCCCCATCTGAACATGTTGTGCCGCCATTCCTTCATTACGAATAATGTGTTTCCATTGCAGAAAAATATTCCATTCGTTGTTATAAAATGGGCCAGAATTTGCTGGCATGGGGAAAATTTTCCGGCATTCGATCGGTCACCAATTGGCTTGGCGACGATTCCATCAAATAATTAATCATTGCTTCAAAAGTACGGGTTTTCTCCTCCGGTCCGCCGACCCCTTTCAATGGTGGCAGCGGGGGTTCTTTCTACTCCACGAAATCCTAATTTTAGGCCGTTCCTTGCGCGCCATTGGTGTCTTATCACCTGTGCCGTGCTCCGTGTGTTCAATAAGTCCCTTGTTTTTTTTTTTCTTTGGAGTGTTGGGCCTCGTTTCTCTGGTTTTCTTCCGCCTAATTGTTTATAATAATTTCCCTCGCGATTGGTGTAATAATTCCGCTACCTGATTTTCCCATTGGATGAGCAGTTCGAGTGCTAAAGCGATTTGCGTCTGCAGTTCTCCCAGTTTTTTCTTTTTCTCCCAGTTGCATTCTTGCAGCCGTGCTGTACTTGTAAATCTGTGGCGTTTGGTTTTGTAATTCCTGAAATGCATATTTCTATTTCTCTGGCCACTAAAGTTCTCATGCTCCGATTGCTCTCGTGCGCAATCCGGCGCTGGCGGTGTAATGGTGATTCTTTTTCTTCCAGTAGCGCCCGTTTAGCGCTGAACTGTGCGCACGCTTCCTCAAAACCACGAAGAAATGGTGTATTCCGTATTATCTTGAAGTTAAAAATGGAATAGCAATAGATGTCCAATTCATATTCTTCTTGTTTTGCATTCTTGCCAAAAGTTCCTTCTTTTTTAACTTTTTGATGCCCGCTAAGAGAGCTTAATTAAGAAATATAGGTTCCCTTTCAACATTTCTTGCAAAAAAAAAACGCAACACCCATCTATTCTCTTCGCCGGTCGCCAAGGGAAGAAAAAAGCAATTTGAAAGAAAACGTTTATCGTCGTCCTCTGGGTGCTGTTTTTCCCACAACTTCGCCAGAATGGTTGTTCTGCCCACGCCCCCCGGCCGAAAAGACCCCGCAACAACAAAGGCGCACGGCCCGCATGCCGTCACAGGGCCCGTTTCCAACAGAGAAAAAGAGGTTTTTTTTCCCCATCTTTTTCACTGTCGAAATTTTGGGTTGGTCAGTCGTCCCTCTTGGTTTCGGGTGGTGGTGTGTTGCTTCCGGATTTCCGAAAATGAGGTGGGCCAAATTTTTTCTCCGCAAGGGAGTGGGTGTAAATTTTCCAAAATTTTCTCGCCGCGACCCTCCTGTTTTTCCACGGGGGGCCCGCGCCGCCGGCACAACCCAAAGTTTTTTTTTTGAATAATGGAACGGCGCGTTCCCCATCGATGGCGGCATAAATCCCGACTTTCCTTAGTATGCGCTTTTTGCGCCCAAATGGTGGCTCAAGGGAAAGGGGGGATAGAGCTAGGGAGCGAAAGCGAAAAGAAGGTCTGGCAAAATTCGGCAAAATCGGGGCGGGCCTTGGCGTTCTTGGGAACGCGCCGCCGGGAAGGAGGCGGGAACCCCTTTTCAATACCGGCGCGCGCCCCCTGCCCCCAAAACCGCGCCACAAACCTCTCCGACCCCTTTTGCGAAAAAAAAAGGCGAATGCTCAAAAATATGTGGCGCCTTCCGGGCCTTGCCGTGGCGCGGTGATTGGCCCACCGCCTTTCCTCACCTGAGGGGCGCCTTGGCCAACTTGGCGAACGAAAACGAAACTAATGAACTCTCCGCGGGGTCATTTTACACAACAGAAAAAACCATGCCCCATAGCAACCGCAAAAAACCAGGGAATCAACTATGTTCCAAACCGGGGGAGGCAGAAGCGCCTCCCCGGAACTTTGCGTGATAGACCTCTGCGCCTTGGTGGGAATGTGCTGCCTTATCGCGGCGCCCAGGTCAAGTAGTTAAATTTTTTCAAGGAAACTAAATGCTCTCACTAAATTTTTGAAGGTGGTCTCCTTAAAAACCAAATTCTTTTTATTTTTCTTTTCAATACATGCGTTCTTGGAAATGCTATCCCCTTGGGGTCGTTTGGCCACCGAAAGTTGGAGCCAATGTCCATTATCCCTTATTATTTTGAGGGAAGCCATGGGTCAGCAAATTCTCTTCTTGAGAGTTTACTGCTTCATAAGCTACAAACGTCATACAGCACCGGGTCCAGCAGAGTCGTACTGGGATAAAACTTTATCCAAGAAGATCCTGGGTCGCGCATCAGCGTGCCATCAGCAGCAGTTTCTTTCACATATTTCACCCTAGTGTGAATGCTGCAAAAAAAGGAGAGGCAGGGACCCTAGAGGTAGTAACAACTATGCCCTCCGGTGGTGGAAACTGGATTGGCCGCTGAGGGGGCTCAGAGTGGCGAAAAAAACCATACCCACCACCTTTGAAGCCTAGCGCAGTTTCTTTACCAATGCGCAAAAGAATTGCGCAGCGGTAAAAAAATACAATGAAAAACAAAAAACAACAAAAAATAAATAAATAAATAAGTAAGGGAAAAAGATTATAAACACATATATCATTATATATATATATGTATTGCTGTTTGATGGCTCGTGCCATTGGGGCAAACCCATAAACGCAGGAAGAAGAAAAAAAAAAAAGATTTCCGTGCGGCTTCGCCTTTTCCACCCCGAAGGCCGCCGACCAGCACAGGGACCACCACAGCCAAAAAAAAAAAAAAAATGTCCCCATTGCAAACAGAATTTCAATAGCGCGCAAAAATGCTGCTGCGGCGGATGCCAATCCCAAATATCCCGTGCGTCTGGCGATTTTGTGGGCCGGGTTCGCGGGCATCTTCGCCGCACCTCGCAGGTCAGGCCCTGGACGAGGATGCTGTTCGCAGAAGGGCGAAAAAAAATCCATATAAAGCACGGAAGGGTTTGCCCCCTCGGGCTTTTGAGGCGATTGTAAGCGCTGCCGGTGGGAACGGGGAATCAATCCCACCCCCACCCCGCAGAAAACCTTTGAACACCCCAAAAAACATGAAAGAGATCCAAGTTGCCTTCCTGCCCGAAGACCCCTTTCAGAAGCAGCAATTTAAAGATTCTTTTGGAGAGCGATCACCCTCAGCACTCGGGAAGTGGTAAAAAAGGAAAGAGAAAACCACAAAAAGAAGGGTTCAGGGAATATTGCTCCCCACAAAAAGGTCGCACTTGTACTACTTTAGCCTTTCGTGGCCAGGCCCGAGCCCACAGACCATTCGCAGCAGTGCCTGCTGAATGCGTTGGGGGTTCATGGACTTCGAATGGCGGGAGCATTCCGGTCACACCCAATAGCCTCAAAACGGATAGGCGCCTTCAGCACTGGTCCCGCAATTTTCTTTCTGAAGTCACATCGCGGGAGTTTGCGATCATAATGGGTTTAAAAAAAAAAAAAAAAAGTCTCCACGATGCGGCATTTCCGTGTCAGGTTCGGTACCAGAAATTCCGCGGTTCACCGTGGCCGAACGCCCGTCCAGCATACGCTAAATAGGACCTACAACATTCCCTACGCCTTCTTTTTTAGTAATTTCGAAAAAAGCCTCCAAGCTCCAGGAACGGCAGCCATAGAAGGTACCTCGCGAGTCGACCATGGTTTTGCCTCGGAGTGGAAAAAACAATGTTTTACGGAAGTGTCGGTGGAGAAGGAGTGTTGCGCCTCATCTCCGAAATGCAAAACAGTAGGGGTGTAGGGTTGTAAGTCGGCAACCCGCTTTCAAAGCAAATGGCGCGACATCTGAAAACTCAAGAGTTTCGCCGAAGCCATCCCCCAACAAAAAAAAGCTTAAAAACAAGCCAAGAAAAAGGCTGGACAATCCTTTTTTAAGTCCCGTCCGTTTCGTAAGGTGTTTTTTTCCCGAAAGGCGGCCTTTAAGAAGCACAATAAAAAATTCCCCGGGGCGTTTCGCGAGGCCCAGGATTTCAAGCCAGGGCATGGTTGCGCAGTTATTTTTTTTGCCCCACACCACCCGCTCGCGTCCCCAACGGGTTTGGCCAAACCGGGGAAAATAAATGCATGGTCCCCCTTTTGCGAATTCAACGGCCAATTCTCCAAAGGGCGTGCCCGAGAAAAGGGCCCCACATTACACCAGAGGGATTGGATAACTGTGGGGCTTTTGGATCCCAAGAAAGGGCAACATCAAGAAACAATTCCCTCAGGAGATCTTGCTTCCACTCTGAACGTTCAGTGAAAAGTATTCTGCGCAACTCAGAAAATATGTTCTTCGCGGCATGCGGCTTTTAACGGCGCCGCCGGTCATGTTGTTCCTCTGGCGGCCGCCCTCTATTATTTGATATTGACTTCTCCGAAAGCCTTAAAAACGAACGCCCTCTAAAACAATAAAGGGGTCCATACGCATAAAAAAAAATCGTTCTTTTTCCAATTATAGGCTTTAAATGTTTCCGGCGGTTTGGTTTGCCTCGGCGCCTTCCCTTCAGCGGCGGTCATCGCGAGCACCTGCCGGGTTCGTCCCGTTACAACGGGTCCAAGCGCCGGAAGGTAGGGATACAGCTGCGGGGGTGAAGTTGTGGCGCTTTGGAAGGCTCCAAGGCAGTTGGTGACAACCCCTTTCACCAATTCAAAAAAAAAAAATGAAAACAAAGGCCGCTGCTTTTGGAGGTTGGCCATCGCCGCCCGAAGCCCCAAACACTCTGCAGTTGGGGCGGGAAATTGTATTCTTCGTAGAATTTGCTCACATTTTCTTCCACACAGAAAAAGGAAAAAGGCGTCATATTTTCAATTTGCATTCCTGCAGAGCGGCGTGGAAAGAACGAGCGCGGGAATGGGCTGCAATGTTGGAACCCCATACCAACAAGCCGTGCATTCCACCGAACTGACATAACAACGGTAGCCAAACACAAGGGTCAGAAATGAAGAACTTATAGCGTTTAATGCCGAGACCGTTCTGCGAAGACATAACTCCAACCATTTGGGTGCATAAGCAGAATCAAGAAATCAACAAAGCCCACTTTTATTGATGAAGCCGAAGAAACAAAATTAACGATTAACACAAGCGTTCATTTTGGCCGATTGCAGCGAGCACTAGCCGAAGATGGGGGCAACCCACGTTTGCGATGGCGTTTCCTAGCAAGATATGCCGCAACACACGCCAACAGAGCAGGTAGATATGTTGCTGCAGTTTGCCTATGGTAATCGAAAACAGGACGAAAATATTAAAAAAAAACCCAGCAAATTGTATAAAGACAGAAGGGTAGAAGTCGCCAAGAACGGTAAATGCAAATGGGATCTCTACATTTCCGCTTTCCCAGGGAAGAGTGGAAAACCAATGGAAGACATGACATGGGACGAGGCGGCTAGTATTTATTTCCATCCCTTTCTAAAGGCCGGGGTGTCTGTCATTGGGTGACCTTTTTTTTCCTGCTGAGACGCACTACCCCACACCACGCAGCCCCCTCTTCCCTGATAAGAAAAAGCTCAAATGAGTTGGAACCAGCGGAAATTCAATGTGCTGGGGGTCTGGCAGCAAAAAAAAAAATGGGGTAAATTCAAGGGGTGTCATACGAGCGTTTCTCTTTTCCGCAAACGCCGCAGCGTAGAGAGGTTAAAGGGTGTTGGGTTCTCTCTGGCGGAGCGCGGCGCTCAAAAGAAAAGGAAATTTCGGTAAAAAAAAAAAGAAAAAGCTTCTACCAAGAACGCAACGCTACAAAAGAAAAAAACCTCGCAGTTGTAAACCTTTCGTCGTTGCCAAAGGGGGTTTTCCGAAATCTCATTGGCTTGGACGCTGCGGGGGGTGTCGGGGGTTGGATGGGGTCTAAAAACTCCCGATTTTAGCAGACATCCGCCTTGGCAATGCCGGCCGCCTCAACGTGGTGTCAAGGTCCAGTAGTTCGCATTCTCGGGGGAAGCCAAGAGCCATCGACGTTTTTCTTCTGGAAGACCCGTTGGCCCTTAGGCTACGGCGTTATACGGCACCGGGGCCAACCGCGTCGTGCTGGGGCAGAAATATATCCAAGAAGGTCCTGGGGCACGTGTCGACGTGCTATCGGCAGTATCACCCGCACCAGGTTACTGCTTTAGTGGTGGTGTAGAGGAAAAATCCCGGCCCTTCACTGCGAGGAATGCGGTGGAACTCAGCTGGGCTTATCCAGGCCAAGAGGCTTGCTCTCCACAAAACCCTTGTTGAGGAGAATTTGACATTCTGCCTTCTAAGCGAGGGGAAACTATCTTCTGCGGAAGTGTCGAGTTTCACAATCGCTGGTTACCAACATCATGGAGTGTCCCACCCCTCTGAAGGAGGCGGTGTTTCGATTCTTGTGTGTGAAGATCTGCCAGTAGAAGTAGGACTCGACGCAGTTGCAAGCATTGAGCATGCCCATGCAACGATCCACATGTCAGAAGGTCTGGCGCTCACAGTGGCGGCAGCATATTCTTCCCTCTGGGGAGATCATACACAACTTCGCAACTAGACACGCTTTTGACGACAAGCGGACCTCACCTCATTGGTGCAGATGCTAATGCGCATGCAATGGCATGGGATCGCGCGATCCCCCCTGATACCCGTGGCGATGTGCTAGTGCAATGGTGATTAGATAATGATTTCGTTATTCATAACGCTGGAGAGTGCATTCGCCACACCACACGCCATGGCCCGTCCGCGCCAGATGTGACAATATCCCGAGAATGCCCTCTAGGGTCATGGACGGCATCTTTCTCCCCGGACAGCGGCCATTACATCATCCTCTTCGACGTAGTAGCAGTGGCAGATGATGATGAACCACTGCGGTCCCCTCGCCCTCGTGCCCTATTTATGCATGGAAGAAAGCGAAATGGCCTCGTTTTCGACAAATGACAAATGCACAGTGCAATAAATCTCTTAAAGAGAAACAGAGCGTTCACAAGAGAGAACGACTACTGACCTCCGCCATCCGTATCGCAACAGCTGCAGATGTTCCACGCGGGGGTCGAGATACTACTCCATTTTGGACTCCCGAGTTAGACGAAATCAAAGAGAAGATTCACAGCTGCAAACCCTCTGTCTCTAGAGACAGATTAGTAGCTCGCAGAAGGGATATGCCAAGACAAGCATCCCATAAAAGATGGAAAACCCTCTGTAATAACATGGCCGTGGCAAAGGGCTGCTGTTGGAACATTTTGAAGAGGATTTACGCCCCACAACCCCTCAGCACCCCGGCGATAAAGATTAATAATGCGGTACTCGCATAAAATCAGAAAGCCAAGCACTTTATCCGTTTATATTGACGAAGGGCTAAACGGCACCCACATTCCTACTCCCCACCGCCCATTCCAGTCACCGACGCAGACTTCATCCCCATTACAACAGCAGAACTGGAACGAGCAGAGCGTCTCCTTCCTAAAGGGACGGCCGCAGGTCCAGATGGTATCTACGGTGAGGCGCTCCAACACTTGGGACCTCGTGCCAAAGCAGAGACTCTTGCCCTCTTCAACGGGAGTCTCCGTACGGGCGTGGTTCCAGTCTCTTGGAAAGTAGGCATTATTGTACCACTTCTTAAACCAGGAAAGAAGGCCACCGACTTGGATTCATTCAGACCAGTTACGCTCACTAGCTGTCTGTCCAAATTAATGGAACGGATCATTGCAGCCCGAATTCGAGATGTCATTTAAACCAAACTGACCCCGCAACAATCCGGATTTAGACCTGATCACTCTACATTAGATCAACTATTGCACCTACGCGCAGCCCTCACAAGACCCACCCCTGATTCGCGTACAGGTGCAGTATTCGTAGACTACGCCAAACGAATACTTCGGGGAGAGGATACGCCCCATCTCTCCCATAGATCAAAAATCACTGGATCCTGGAACCCCGCCAAAGATAACCCGGAACTTACTAGAGAAGAAGAAACAGCCTTAGCACGTTTTTCGCACAGGTGCTTCGCATCGCTATGGCTGGTTACTGCGAAAGATGCAAACGCATATTCCCCCTGTTTGTCGATGGTGTAATCCCCAAAAAGTCAGTACGCCGACACCCGTTATTCCACCTAGCCAGAAAAGACCGCGCTATACACTAAACAAAGCAACAGACCCCGCCACCTGCACTGAATGCGGGGCGCAATACTCATGCAGGAACACCGCAGTAGTACATATGGTCAACAAACGCTTGGGTTCAAGAGGGCCGATGCGCTCTGGAAGATCAAATTCCCCCATGAGCCACCTCCGCTGGACATCCCGCCAGAACCTCCGCCACCCCCACAACCCCCACCTCCGGACACAACGTTACCCCGTCCCAATTCGCCTAAAGCAAAACTCCATCCCTTTGCCGGCAGTATGTGTAAACGAACATTTCCGCTTCAAAATGGATTAACGCGCCGCCTTAGATACATGCACAATGCCACATGCCCTGTCCCAGAGAGAAAACGCCCGCGAGCCGACGAACCGATACCAGAGGAATCAGCATTTCCCTGTGACAAATGTGATATGATAGCGCGCTCTAAAACAGGTCTCAAAGCCCATATTAGAGCAAAACACCCTGAGAACCCCAAAAAAGACGCACCTCGCCCTCAGCTCATCCCACAGCCTGCTTCACTACGATGCGAATTCTGCCTCCGCGACTTTGGCAACATTGGTGGTCTCGCATGCCACAAAAAGTTTAAACATCCTCCTGGAACCCCAATTTTGCCAGCAACAATACAAGTAACGTTTCCGCGCAATAAGAAACGCCAGCGAGATACGTCGCCGCCGGAGCGTGAGGACAGAGAAAAAGTCCAATGCGGAGCATGCCAGAAGTTCTACGCCCACCTAGACTCCCTCGTAATACACTGCAGAAAATTCCATGAAGGAGAGGGTCTGCCCAAAAAATCGAATTCCACCAATGGGCAATACAAAACAACGAAAACAAGAGACCTTCTGGCGTTAGTCTGCCCCACGTGTGGTCGTCAGTGTGTATGAGTAAGTCAGGCCTAACTCTACACCGAATGTCACGTCACGGGTATCACCCTACTCGCGCGCACACCAGCTAACGCAACGAATGCGACGAAACAGCTCTGCACCTCTTGAGTTGCCCCGCTTTTCATCCACTGCGAGTTCAATTTGCGATTGTTGATTATGTACCCCTGATGAAACTATGTTTTTCTAAGCGGTTAGCACAGTTCTTTATTGCGGTGGAGTGGAACTACGCTATGCCACAGTCTTCACAACCAAGAAACCATACGCAGCCCACCTCCCCACCCCTCTAAAATCAGCGACGAGCTCGAATATGGAAACCCTGATAGAAGAGTAAGCTCAAGGGGCCTATCGCCGCCCGACGAGCAAAAAAACATCTGCGGCTTCATTGAGGCCAATCTTTCACAAAAATAACAAAAATAATAACAAAAGGAGACTTGAGGACGGGTTCTGGGTAAGAAAAGTGAGAGTAGAGAGATCTGGTAGGGTTTACTCGATCAGATTTCTCGTAGACTGGTTCTCTCGTATGGGAACGGGCTACAACCAAAAATCATATTACAAGAGCTTAAGGATCCTATAAAATAAAGGGATCTTCTTCTTCGGAGCCACTCCTAAGTCGGTAATTAAATTGCTCTATGTTGAACGGCTGATGGCCGTACCATTGGAGTAATATCCATAAAGACACGAAAAAAAAAAAAACAAAGTAGATATCCGCGTCACGGAAAATTGGGTAAATAGTATTATTATTTTTTTTATTATACCCAGAAAACACTTCCAAACATCCACACCGATAGATCCGCCGTAGCGCACAAGAGACTTTCTTTCTCTTCCTCCACGGTTTCGCTTCTCTGGGTGATTTTCTTCGGTAGGGTAGACGGGCCTTTTGTGAGACTGGTGCTCCGGCCGCCATCCCTTCTGGCATTTGACCGCGCTACGTGCCGCAACCTGTCCGTGATATTGCAGAAACCCAACAACATTTATTTTTAAGTTTTTTGAGAACCTTTGAGGGAATGGTATACACGAGATATTTATGATACAGATGCGTTTGTATATAATATAATACTATTTTCTAACTTTTTCTTGCATAAAATTTGCTTTAAATTACAACTTTTTAAACCTTATTTTTTTGTATGAAAGCCCTCCTCAAGAGCATTTCTGACTTTGCTCTAGAACGCTGGCCCGATCGAATTTCTTATTTGCCCGTCGCCAAACAGAAGACACGCAGATGAAGCACTCCAAGATATATATAGGTGGATATTTTAACGTTTAGAGAAGAAAAACATTTTTCCCTTTTTTGGTCGGAAACATAGGATAAAATTTGGACTCTTTCCACGAACCTTTGAAGCCCCTCACCTTGCCGTAAAAAAAAGAATCCAAGCGTTCCCCAGAGCGTTGAACGAGCCGATTTCAGTCTGGCGAAGTGAACGCTTGGCGATTGACGAAAAAAAGAAGCAATCTTGCATCACCATCATTTGCTTGACAAGCTAACACTTCGTGGAAAGGGTTTTCTGTGGGCATGGCAAACTGCAAACGTATGGTTTCAGAAAACTACCGCTTCGCATGTTGACGGAATGGAAACCGCACCGCGAAGAACCCTTTCCTTGGGGAAAGGGAGGGGCGAAGGGAATGAAAACAGATAATTATTCCAAAAGGGTAAGGTGGAATGCTGGTGTTTCGGTTTCTCGGCCAAAAAGGGCCCCCTCAGGGCATTACAGAAAGAAAGAAAAAGCCAGACGATTGAGGGTGTTGCGGGGCACCTGCCTTAATACCCCTTCCTTCCGTCTTCTAGGAAAAGTGCCGGGGGTGTTTTCCCAAGCCTACGGTGCCCAATTCGTTTCGCATGGTCGCGGGGAATTTCGTTGTATTTCTCGAACCCGGTGCGATTTGCAAAGGGCGTTTTTTTTTTTTTCCTTCGGTGGCGCTGCCTCGGGCGCCGAACGGCGTCATCAGCCAGTTTCTTCAAAAGCGGGTAATACCTCCGGGAGGGTTTCGCGACGTCGCGAGCGCGTGCTGCAAAAGGGGGCGTCACCATTTTTCAGGAAAGGCGGTTGGAAAAGCAAAAAAACCACCCCGCCATCCCGCCGAGAAAAGCGGGATGCTCACAATCTGGTGTTGCAATGCGGTGCGGCGTTATGGCCTTGGCAAATTTTCTCAACGAAACGCGGTCGTCAAATAAAAAGTAAAAATATAAACCATGTGCCCCGCAACCCGGGAACGAGGGAAGTCAATATTAAGAAAATTCCACGAGCGTTGGGCCGATAATGGCCTCGGGACCCGGAAAGGGGAAATTCCCCTTTCCTTTTTCGACCGGCAACTTGCCAAAAAAAAAAAAAGGGTTCCGGTCAGCGCGCGCGAGTGTTAAAAACCTTTCCGTGGCCCAAGGGAAACCCAGAGGGAAATGTTACCCGGTGGCGCTCAAAAAGTTGCGCCGGTGGATCCCATAAAAGGGGCGGGCGCCAAATGTTGGGATTGACCCTCGTGGCCCAGAGGATGCGCCGCGCCACGAGAACTCAACTGCAACAAGAAAAACTTGGAGAAGTTCGAATCCAGAATTCAAGGAGGCCAATGGTATGATCCACGAAAGCCTTAACGCATTAGAGGGCTAGGGGGTGGGTGGGGGAGGGAATTTGCCCATTTTTTTTTTTAGGAGCTTTTGAAAAGAATATGTGTCCGGCTTTGGTCTATAATAATCTGGGTTTGGGGTTTGTTTCGCCTTTTCTTTCTTTTGGGTTTGTTGTTGTGGTCAAAGGGCCTCGGTTTCAACGAATGGAAAGGATTTGGGGTTTTTGTTTTTTTCTTTTCCGTCCCACCCACCCCTTTCCCCCTCGACGCGGAAGGGTCTGGGGAGCGGATAAGGGGGTTTGGAATCTGTCGCTTCGTAATTTCTGCCGGGCGATACTTCCGGCGGTGTGGGGAATTTGATTTTATGTTTTGTTTCTCGCGCGTTGTTGTTTTCATGGTTGGGTTGTGTTAAGGAATCATTTGGAACCTCATAGGTTGTTTGTTTTTCCGTTTGTTTTCTATTTGTTTGTTGCTTTTGGCCAAAGTTAGAAAGCATGTTCTTTTTTAATGGCCTGGGCCTTTCCGCGCGAATGGGGAAAAGGCCGGGGCATCCCAAAGAAGGGTGGGGGGTGGGGGGCACGCGTTCCCCACACCAAACAGGCGCCTGGCCCCTCGCCCCCCACGAAAGCGGTTCCGGAGAAGGCCCGCCAAAGAAGGCCAGCGAGAGGATTATGACGCGACGTTGGGCGCTGGGAGGATTTTGCCACCGGTTGCCGTGGGGGAAAACGGAATCCCTTTTTGGTTTTTTTTTTTTTCTTTTTTTTTTTGCTCCGGGGTTGGCCTCCCTTAAGCCGCGTGGTCCGCATTGTGCTTTTGGCCGCGGTCCGTGCTGCTGGTGCGTGGGCGTTTGTTTGTTGGGGGAGTCCACCCTCCCGCAGCATCCGACGTCCCCAAGGGGCGCCGCCATGGCCAACCTCCCCCCGAGGTCGGGTCGTTTTATCGGAGCCGTTTTTTTTTTCTTTTTCCCTGATCGCGGGGCGAGAAACGCCGCGGGATTTCTTGGGAAAAGGGGCGGGCCCAAACCTCGCAATTTCGAGGGAAAAAGAAACCGCCCGTTCCCGCAAAACCGGCCGGCGCGGCCGAGTGCCGTCGGTCACGCCCTGCCGGTTTTTTTTTTTCTTCGAAATTGCGAGGTTTCGTTGCCGGTGGTTTCGCCGCCTCGGGTTTTTCGGTGAAAACGGAAGCGGGGTCGGACGCGGAGACGGCGGGCGCGAGATAGCGCGGCGGCACCGATGGCGACAACGATAATGGAAAAAAAAGAAAAAAAAAAAAGGAATAAGAGGCAAATGATTCTCGCGCGTGGTTGTGGGGAAAAAAAAAAACATTTTTTTTCGTCGTTTTTTCCGAGGGATGGGGTTGTTGATAAGAAAACGCCCCGACAATACGTCAAGCCACGGTGTGGCCAAGAACAACGGCACCAGCAAAAAAAAAACAAAAAACAAAACAAAACAAAAACAATTCAGCAAACAAACAAACGCCATTCCCCAAACCAATTTTAGTTCACTTCAAGCTGAAGGCTTCTACTTTTAGCCATGAATCGCCTTGGCCTGAATTTGGTGTGGGCGACTCTTCCGCACAAGATCATCTTGATACAGAGAATAACTTTCTCAGCGCAGATAAATATGGGAAACCATAATGGCAAAAAAACGATAAACCATACCAGAAAAACATCAAGTTGAGCAACACGTATAAATAATGGTTGCAATTTTGTTTCTAATTCCTCGTTAAATATAACACACCTTTCTAGTGTTTCATTCCTTCCAAGGAGGTGGTTACGCTGACGAGATTCAAGAATATCAACAGCCCTTTCTGCGCCTCCAAGAAATTTTGAGATTCGAAGAAGGTATTCCATATTATTTCGCATTTGGTGCAAATTTACCACCACGTGACGTATAGTTTTTGCCAAACTTTCTGATGTAAAACTATTTTTTTCCCCAAGACATTTTCCAATCTTTGACTCTTCAACACGTTGACAAACATCAACTTGATCTGCAAAAAAAGGGATACCTACAATAGGTAACTTTGCATCTATTGCTTCATGAATGGAGGCGTCACCACAGTGTGAAAGAAATGTCACCGTATTCTTATGACGCATAATATTGAAAGGGGAAATAAAAAAATGACTAAAAAATGACCTTTCCTTAATTTCACCTAAATATTTTAAAATACTCTGTTTTTCACTATCTTTAAGCTTCCAAACTATACAATATGGAAGTTGACGAAGGGCTTTTACAATACGCTCACCCAGAAAAGGTGAAAGTTCCACCAAGGTACCAAAATTAACATAAATACTTCCTACTTGGCATTTATCAAGAAATACAGCGAGTTCTTTTTCCATTGGAGATGTACGAGCCTCATGAAAAGAAAGTAAACCCAGTGGATGAAAGTTAGGACACACTTCATGTGGGATATCAAATCCCCAAAGTGTAGGAGCCATAATTGTATCATACCACCCACCCAGTTCAAAACCGTCTTTAATTGGTTTAATACCATACAATGACCGGACAGTGTTTACGCTATCTAATTTATCTGGAACTATCGCCAGAAGGGCTTTAATCCCAAAATTGGCCATTCGCTGCCATTCATTCATCCTTGCCGGCCAACCAGTTCCCATTATAGGGATTTGACTAGAAACACCTAAAGGTATCATAGTTGTTAGCGGTAAAAAAGTAACTGATGGAATACTCAGTGCAGTTGCCACAGAACCACCGACAAATGTACTTACATCACTTATTATCATACTAAGTGGGTGTGCTGCATGTACTTCTTTCACTGCAGTGAGATAGTCACCCAGATGTAGCTCATGGTGTCGAGATATTTCAACAAAAAGTTCTGGAAGGGATGCCAGAGTATTATCAAGTTGACTGAGGTTTCGAAAGAAATTTTCTGAAAATACATTATATGATGGAAGTACAATACATTTTACCATATCTTTTATCTGGACCAACTTTTTGCACCAATTTTGGTTTTCGATAAAGTATGTAACGCGGTGTCCACGTCTGGTAAATTCTTCTCCAATTATTTGTAGTGGTTTAAAATGACCATGAAGAGGAATAGATACAATGGCGACATGCAAGGGTGAGAAAGGTTCAGATACATTTACTTTCTCTGAATTCCCCGCCGCTGTTACAGTAAAAGCTAAAAGATTTACAGGTCCCAGCAGTAGCACCAACACTACTAAACAGCAGAAATTTACTCCAAGAGGACTAGAAACAATTATTCCTTCTTCCAGTCTTTTTATCTGTTTCATTGCTTTTTTCATCTGTTTTCTTTTTTTTTCTAAATATCACTTCTTTATTTATTTACTTGTGTTCTTTTTTTTTGTGAAAAAGAAAAAAAAAAGAAAAGAGAAGGGAATACAAGAGTCAAAACAGAAAGGTACAAAGAAAGAAATAATAACAATGAACAAAAACTTTGAATTTAGAGCGAAAAAAAAAAAAAAAAAAAAAAAAAACAATAAAACTACATTTTTATTCCATTCTTCTCGTTTACTATTATTATTTTTTTTTCTACTTAAAAAAGGATCTAAGTAATGAAAAGTGGGCTTATGNAAAAAAAAAAAAAGAAATACTGCCCGGTTTATGAGAGTGTGCATTATTACATACGCTTACAAAAGCCAAATATTTTTCTCTTTCACTTTCTTGAGGAAGGGAAAGCGTACGCTTCTTTTTATAGAGAGGAGGAGGAGGAGGAGGAGGAGGAGGAGGAGAGAGAAAAAGTTATGAAAAAAAAAAAAACTTATCTATTACTGTCATTTTTCAGCAATTAGCTCTTACAAGCAAGTCCAACAAAACCAAAATAAAAAACATCACTTATTTCCTCCTGTGCATGGACTGGAAATCTTTTATATTATCTCGCTTTCTTTCACCCAGACCCCCTTTTTTTTCTATCTTTTTCTCTCTTATTTACAATTTTCTTTTCTTTCCCCATTTTACTCTTCTGTTACCAGAGGACAACGGAAAAAGTCAAGCAACTTATTATTTTTTTTTTCTGTATTTTGACACCATATCGGTAAGAAGATATAGAATCAAAAATCGATAAATCGAATATTGTTCGAACTCAAATTGCACTTGTACAAGACATTTTTTTTTTTTTGATTTTTCTCTTCTTTTATTATTACTATTATTTTGCCTCAACAGGAGCAATCAGTTGAGTCTGAAGATACTTCTTCCGCTGCCACATCGATTGCTTGAGCAATGTCCGCGACTATGTCTTCAATCTGTTCAATACCAATTGAAAGACGAATAATGTCACGCGGGAGTGTTTGCTTCTCCTTCGGTATGGATGCATGTGAGAGTAAACAAGGAAGCTCAACGAGGGAGTTGCAACTTCCAAAGCTCACTGTCAATTTAAATAATTTTAATGCACGTACAAAACGGTGTGATCGTTTTGTATCACCAGTCTCAAATGAAAGAACAGTTCCTGGACCGGATGCTTGTGAACGGTGAGTTTCAAAATCCTTCTCGGTGAGACTAGAAACATCTGGATAGAGTTTCGGGTTAATACCGGGGTAATGTAATCGTTTGACTACATGTGTCTGATGACTGAGGAATAGAGCCACTGCAACAGCATTTAATTCTTGTTTTTCCACACGTATAGAGAGTGTTTTTAAACCGCGTAGAAGCAACCATGAGTCAAATGGACTCAGTGCATTACCTTGTGCATTTTGAAGAAATGCCACTCGTTTAGCAAGATCTTCACTTTTAACACAAACAATACCACCCATAGTATCACTGTGTCCACAAAGGAATTTGGTTGCACTATGAATAACATAATCACATCCAAGAGGAATTGGGGTACATCGCACAGGACTCATCATGGTATTATCTATTGATACCTTCACGTTATTCTTATGAGCAATCTCACAAAGAGCCCTGATGTCTGCAATACGCATAAGCGGATTTGTCGGACTTTCAATATGTAGTAGTTTCACACGCTCTGACATTTTAGATTTTACTGCTTCTAAATCCCATGTATCAACAAATTCCACATCGATACCCATTCGATTAGCCACTTGGGTTAAAAGTCGATACATACCACCATACAAATCTGAACTGGCCAATATAACACTTCCAGCATCAAGTGTAGCCACAACTGTTTGAAGGGCCGCCATACCGGAGGTAAAGGCAAAGGCGGAGTGAGCACCCTCTAACTTTGCTGTAAGAGTTTCCAAGGCAGTTCGGGTTGGGTTTCCACTTCGTGTATAGTCGTATGGTCCAAATTCGGTAATATCAGGTTGAACAAAGGTAGAAGTTTGATATATAGGCATAGATGAAGGATGATAAGGATCATTAGGACAACCATCAAATACGACAAGTTGCGTACTGGGATGTTCAGCAGCCTTCTCAAAGTGAGGTCGTGAAGGGTATGTTGGTAAATCAACATATGGAATTGAAGAAGAACGCTTAAACCGCATTGGCTTTGTAGAACGTTCCAAGTGTTCACGTTCCTTTTCAAGTGCTGAAAGCACTGTATGAGAAGGTTTATTAGCAGCAACAATGGCATGCATTGTCTCAAATTGTGTTAAACGTTCCCACAATATCTTATTTTCTTCCCGCAAAGAGAGAATAATCTTGTCCTTTTCGTCGATAGTATTTGACATTGTGATCACTTGTTCTTCCTTAATAACACCTTTTTCCTTTCTTTTTTTTTTCTTTTCGTTCTTCTTATTCCTTCACACCTGCCTTCAACTACTCTGGGTAACTGAAATAATAAATAAATAAATAAATAAATAAACAAATAGAGTTATATGTATAAAGTACAACATATATATATATATATATGTATATAGGTATATTACTAATTATGGCAACAGAGTGCCCAATTTACATTAAGAAAAAAAAAAAAGCTGAATAGGGTGCCTATAAACTACAGAAGTTTTCTGCACCAGAAATAACTTATCTTACCCAAGAAACATAGTAATAAAGTTTAGGATAAAATAGAATTGATTCTCTCTCTCACACACAGATATATATATATATATATATATACCTATACTCAGCAAATCTTTGCCTGTGAGAAATCCATCTCCGGATGTGCAGCCATAAATTTAGCCAACATATCCTTCTTTTTCTGCTCTTCTGAAGTGGGAAGCCCCATAGCCTTTTGGCGTTGATCGTACATCATCTTCTCAACCGTCTGTCGTGTTTCACTGTCAAGGTCATCCAGCTTGGAGTTCTCTGGAACCACCTTCTGCAGATCAATTTCTGCATCACCGACAATAACGGTTTTCCACCACTCCATCTGATTTAACTTTGTAAGTGTCAAAACAACGGTACGTCCGTCTTCAATAGTCCACATAGAATCCTCCGTCTTCACAGCCGCATACAGTTCCCCATCAACAATAGGTGGTTTCCCCTTCACTGCCACACGCAGACGACGCTGCTGAATAACAATATCTAGGTCTCGTCCCTTTGCATTCACAATGGGGAGCGGCACCCGCACCTCCACTTCCTGTAATGTCTGCGAAAACATGTAATGTTCATAATCAAACCCATTACCCGCAGTTGGGGGAAGTCCTTTTGGTTTCATTCCATCCTCATCTTCTTTGGCATTGGCCAATTCCGTTACTTTCTTCTCCATTTCCGCCTTACGTTTGGCCGCTTCTGCCGCCGCCTTGGCTTGTGCCTCTGCTGCCTTTTCTTCATCATCTTCCAAGACTTCCACGCGTGAAGAAGTGGTATTGCGTTTCTTTTCTTCCGCCTGCTTCTTTCGTAATTTCTCCTCCGCTTGAGTTAAGTGGCGGTCCAGTGCACGTTGCACAGCCGAGCGTGCCATGTCGGGATGTGTGAAGAAGTCTGTTTTCCTCCCAAGAAAGGAAAAGAAGGTATCAAGAATGGCATCTATTCCATCGTGCTGCTGGGCAATAGCCAACAGCATGGTGTCAAAACGTTCATCATTAGACATCTGCGTGCAATTAACTCTCTTTCTTTTTCTTTCCTTTTTTTTTTTTGGTGTGTATGACCAAGATATCCTCTCTTTATGGAAAATAAAATAAAAAATACAAAGAAATAAATAGAAAAAAAAAAAAAACAACAACCAACCACAACCACAAGAGAAACATAACTACACAAAACAATCTTCACAAGCGAATATGCATAATATGCAGCACTAACTAGAATATAAAGAGACGAAATAGGTGAAGGGAACAGTATCAACAGCAACAACAACACACACACACACACAACTCCGCCTGTCTGAGAACCATAATTTAAGGTGAGGGAAAAACAGTATATAAATATATATATATATATATATATATATATATATTGAGTGAAAATCTAATAATACAAAGAGAAACGAAACGAAAATACACCAAGAAGTAAAAAGAAAAAAAAAAGAAAATTTACATTGGCATTACCACAGATCAAATCAGGGTGTGGTGGGTGGAGATTGGTTTGCTGCACCAAGAAGCAACGACCTCTGTACTGCCAGTTCAACCAATAGAGGAGAAGCAATACGTTCTGTACAACGCATCCATAACAGTAATTGCCTCAACTGTGATAAAGTTACCATCTGTGAAAGTTTCCCACATAAACATGTAGAAGATCCATTGTAAAGAAGTGTGGGAAATTCAGCATTACGAAGAGCCATAAATGGAAAGATTTTGATTTCCATTTCAATGGCACTCCACATTCCTTCTAACATCTTCCATTCACAACTTTTGGGACCCCGCTCATTATAGAGATGAATTACAAAATCTTCAAGTGATGGAATAGATTCTCGCCACTGTTGTAGGTGACGTTCAAACTGACCCAAAAGCATATAATTAAGGTTCAATCGTTGTACTGTTGTTAATTCATTTACGCGTATCCATGCTTGTCCCCAGTCATCCCTCATAAACTTAAAAAATTCTCTTGTGATAATGTGACTAGCACGAAGATAGAAACACATAGTGGCAGAGCGTCGTATAAGGCGTCGCCAAAGAACACAGACTGAAATTGCAGCGGAGAGTGCTCGAGGAGAGAGATACTCAAGTATCATCTTTTGTACATCATACGGTAAGGGAAGAATACCAGGAGAATAAGCAGGACGATCTTTTATATGCTCTTCTCCTGTAGAACTTATATCAAAGCCATACTCTATGCGGCACCGCTTCCGTGGAACCCGTTGAAAGAGATGTGAAAAAGTGATAGCATCCTCATCATTATTAATTATATCTTTACAAGAACTACTACTAGTACTATTATTATTGTTATTATTACTTCTACCGCGATGGACTTTCACCTTCTTAATAAGAAGACATGTGGTGCGTGGATGCTGCGCTGTCCTCCAATACCATGTCGGCATTACTGTAGTATATTCTGCAATCGAATACAACCATGGAAGTAGGGGTGGCTCACAAGTTACTACTTCATTTGACACTTCAAGTGGTGCATATTTTATGGTTTGACTATACAGAAGTGCTTTCGCTAGTTTAAAGAAAAGGAGAGCAATATTTGAATGAAATGGAGTTTCTGTATCTATGTTATCTTCTAATTCACTGATATAAGGAGTCGTTTCAAAGAAGGCACGCAGTGTTTGATGTAAACTCGTCAAGGTTGTACTGTGGTCAAGGTAAAAATCCAAAAAGGAAAGTAATGTAGGTGCCAGTACCTCCTCCGAGAGACCAACATCAAAATCTGCCATATCTGCTTGCAGGTGACGGGCCATATGTGAGAGATTCTCCATTTCAGTCTCTGTGGAAGATACCATTCTTCCTACTACTACTTCTTCTTCTTCTTCAGCATGTCCATACATCTTTCGTAGTCGGAAGAAAATAGTAAAGATGCTGTTGGTGTGAAGCATCACATCCATTAAGGAGAGTCCATCCGTGGGTACGGCACGCTTGTCTGCATGACGGCCTTCCCTTCTTCGCGGAATAAACTGATAACGCTCTAGAAAAGCAACAGAGGATTCACTAAAGAAATGGGGCATGACGTTCACTAACACCCCTCCTCCTCTGAGAAACGAAAAAAAAAAAAAAAAACAACAACTAATAAAATAATAAATAATAACACCAACACCAAGTACAACCAAACCCCACCCTATTCCTCGCCTTTTTGTTTGTTTGTGTGAACATATATGATAGGGCAAGAAAAAAAAAAGAGCAATAAAAATAATAACAAAAAAAAAATAAAAGAGAGAGAGAGAAAAAAAAGGGAGAGAGAAAAGGAAGAGGTTTTCCAAGGTAGAGAAAGAAAAGAGAAATCAAGCAGTAACAACAGGTGAGCAGAACTTTTTTTTTGTTTTGTTTGTTTCCTTTCATACTGTGTACCATAATGTGAAACTATCGGCTGAACGCTCTCTTAACAATGAGAGAAGTCTACAATATCCGTAATTTCATGCGCAACCCAGTTAGAGATTCGTTGCTTTACCTTCGTAGGATCCTGCGGTTTGTAAAAAATTGGTTGTTGGAATTCCTTTACGAGGTGATTTCGGTCTTGCATGAATTCATGGAATGCAGAAAGGCCTACCATAGCACCAGACCACGGTGTTGCACCAACGGCATCATTATTTCCTAAACGAACTAACATTCGTGGAATAGACATTCGTTGTAATTGAATACCATCACGTGAGTGTAGAAATCTCTCTGTAGGATTATGTACCACAGAGTTTAATCCACGAAATATAGTTCGAACCTGCACATCACTTGAACCATAACTCTTTACCCAAGGAATATTATTACAACGTCCAGGAGCCCAGATGTTAGGATGTCCATACAGTTGCATTAATGTACTAACACGATAATGTCCATCTGGTGTTTCGTGTTCAGCAAGTATATTGGGTTTTCCTCTTCCTGCCTTAATAGGACGTGGTACATCACCTATTGTTGAAAAGACATAATCAAATTCTTTTTCTTCACCAGATGACTCCACCGTATCTCCACTTAAATCTGGTTGACGTCGTCCAAAGTACGCCTGACTCAGAATGGATTGTTGAGGTGTTGGTACAAAGTGCATCTTATCATAACGCACGGTAAATTGCTTTGTTTCCTCAGCAGCAGGTTTACCAAAAGGTAATAATCGCATCAACCCTGTACTGGGATGTGTATCCACACGATTTCCATTCGCATCATATCCATCAATATCCGTTACCCGTGTGCAAAGATGTACTGAGAGATTTTTACAACGTTGTAAAGCCTCCAGTGCATACTTACGACTTGTTGTTGGTAATACAGGAATAAGTTCTGACTTGGAATGATATAAATGAACTTCCATATCTGGTCTTCCAGTCGCCAAATCCATTGCGAGAGAAGTACCAACTGGACCTCCTCCAAGAATTGCTACCTTTTTACATGTACCAATAAATTCATTAAAATGTTTAAGCTCTTGTACACGACCAGCAATAGTTCGCTCTTTTGTAGCAAAAGGAAATGGTTTACGTTCACCTGGTGTGACAAAGAGAAGATCATACGGCACACAACGACCATCACGAAGTGTAACAGACTCTTCATCCACACCGTCAACAGTGCCTGTAAGCACATTTGCCCGTTTAAGATAATAGCGATGTAGTACAAAGAGACGACGACAGGCCTCTTCATTTAACTCGCTCCACGGGTTTGCCACGATAGGAATGATATCATTGGTAAGTTCATAAAAATTTTTCTCATCAATAAAGGTAACATCAAACATGCTATCTAACATGTACGCTAGTCTTGCCCCGGCATAGCCACCACCGACAATAACACAACGTACAGGAACAACATCTTTACTAGGATCCATAATGAGATCCAGCGTTGGGGTAGTTACGGCAAGCGTCGATGTCGTAGAAGAGCGATACGCTGAGATCATACCGCCTAACATACCACCAGCAAAGAGTCGCCAGAGCATGTTATCTATTCTTTTCCGTTTCTATTAAAAGAGGATGAAGAATAAGAAATTTAAAAGAAAAAAAAAACACATATATATATATATCAGAGTGGATGATAACCAGAAGACGAAAACAAACAAACAGACAAACAAACAAACAAAACTAACGTATTGATGTAAGAGAAACAGAGTAAATTTTCTCCCAGAGTTTCTCAACTTATATCACGAAAGAGTAACACAAGAGAGATGAAATATTAGTGCATGTGTCAACGTGTAATCTGTCTGTGGCAAATAATAATAATAATAATAATAATAAAAGGGATCTCAGCGTTACAGAAACAGAGAAAGAAAGAAAAAAAAAAAAACGGGTTGGGCGTATATTTAAATATAAATGCATGTGAGTTTTGAATCCATCCACCTATATTTTTCTTTCCTTTTTTAATTTTCTTTCTAACCCTGATTCTCTCTATCTCTCTTTTTTCTTTTTTTTTCATACCTTCATGGCTGCCCCAAACAATTTAGCAGCAGTTCCACAACAGTAACAGATAAATTCAACACATCCACCCCCACCTTTTCCCCACCTTATGAACTAGGGAGTAGTTGTCCCAATGTTTTCCCTCTTCAATGTTAGGAACTGCAACACGGCGAGCACATCCTGAGATGTCCTTTCTACGGTAGAGTCTAACAATCGTGTTTGCTTCACCATACGATACAATGCCGAGATGTTCACTTCCAACTCCACATCATAAGAGACTTGGGGAGCACTAATAAACGGAACATGCAACTCTGGTGACCATGGTACAGTAAAACGTGTGTGATCTGTGAAAGAGCGTACCATGGCGATATCTAGTGAGAGTAGCGGACTTACACGAATAGTTTTGCGTTGCCGCAGACGTGATACAGTCGGAGTAAACGCCGCCCATTCGGACTTCCCCCATGCATCGGCACGGATAGATTTCTCACGAGACACCGAGACGCGGAAATCAGAGGCCCAACGCGGGCAACGAATATCATTTGTGAGGATTCGCTCCTTATCCACCACTGCTATCAGTCTTCCAGTATTACAAGTAGCATTCATTGCATACTCCAGACGTGTTGGGCCTGCCGTACGCACGGAGAGTACTGTAGAAGAGCGTGCTGGCATGGAGAATCCAGCAGTGGATTTAAGTGCTGTGTGTAGCGCATGAAAAGTTGGCTGGGCCACACCAGCAAAGAAGAAGAACGGGATGGTAGATTGTCCTTCCAGCAATGCCGGAGTAGTAGTATGGGTGGGGAACGAGTGTGTGTAGGTATGCCGTGATGCAGAAAAGGTACCAAGACGGCACTCAAACTCAACCGAAACTCCAGCGGACATTTCACGGCGGTAGACATCTAACGCCCGCTTTAGCGCATCGCTAAGAACCTGCACAAGGGGGTCTCGATATGCTGGTATGCGCTGCAGCATTGGAGACTTAATCCAGGTTATACAAAATATATTACGCAAAAGAGGGAGAGACAGAAAGAAGGTCAAGGAACATTATATACAATATAACTATAACTATATACACATATACATGATAAACAATCAAGTATAGAAAGTGTTATAAAAACCATTTTTTTCTTTTCTTTTTTCTTTTTCAGTGACGTGCATATTTTTTTTTTTTTACTCATCTATAAATACACGCCCTAGTCATTTCTATTTCTTTTCAATAGGTTAAGACCACCTCTACCACCCGGTGAAAGTAACCCATCTCTCTCAGACACTTTAGGAAGAAGTGCTTTCATAAGATGAGCTCCTACTGCTAGAAGTACTGTTACTAGGGGCTCTTGCTTGCCTTGCAACTGGCACTGCTGCATGGGGAACACCTGATGCCGACACTGTCACTGCATTACTATACGATGGGATTCCTCCTGTCGCTATTGTTGCCATAGAAGAAGGTACTGGTACTTGCGGGGATAAACTCTGAGGAGGTAAACGAGACGTTGAGGCAACGTCCGCATACGACGGTCGTCCCATCTGTAAACCTGAGGGAGTTAACTGTGTATTAGTTGGGGCAACAGAGACAGGTGGTGGTACCGACATTTGTGGGGTGTTTATAGAGCCGCTACCAACACGAGGTGGGTTTGCCGCTATCGTTGACCCATCCTTACTGCTGTCATCTCTCATAGAGTTCGTTCGAAGCCAAATTGGAGTACTCTCTGAGGTTGTTACTGGGTTACCAGGGGAGTTCGAGGGCTGCTTTGGTAGATTCCATGGGAAAATAGAGGGGTCTGAATTCACACCCTTTGCTGGAAATGTACCACTCAGTCTAGTGGGCATGTCTCTTCCTACTGAGGGAGACCCAAGAGCCGTGCCATGGACTGCTGGAGATGCGTGTTGCATATTCGTTGTCGCCGCTGTGGTAGATGAAGTGTGAGGCATATTAACACTAGACGAGGAGGTCGAGAACGTGGAGACTGTAGACCCTACGGTTTTAATCCCTGTGGCAGAAACAGGGGCAAGAGAAGGAGCTGGAGTAGGGGGAATATGAAAAGTGATGCCATGCTGTTGCTGTTGCTGTTGTGGTTGTTGCAGTGTTTGTGGTGTAATTACAGGAGCGCTAGTAGTGTTAGAAGCAGGTACAGGCGGTACAGAAACCTGTGGTTGATAATGTGGTTGTGATAGTGCTGTGCTCGCAGAAGCGCCAGTAGTAGTGTTAGAGGTAGGTACAGGCGGTACAGAAACGTATGATTGTTGTTGTGGCTGTGGTTGTTGCAGTGTTTGTGGTGTAATTACAGGAGCGCTAGTAGTAGTATTAGAAGCAGGTACAGGCGGTACAGAAACTTGTGGTTGATAATGTGGTTGTGATAGTGCTGTGCTCGCAGAAGCGCTAGTAGTAGTGTTAGAGGTAGGTACAGGCGGTACAGAAACGTATGATTGTTGTTGTTGTTGTTGTTGTTGGGGCAGTGTTTGTGTTGGTTGTGGTGTCGATAATGCAACTCTCTCTGCGGTTGACGGTGCCACTGGCAAAGTAGAAGTCATTGTTGTACTTCCTACTCCTCTACCAGGGGCTGAAAGCCACGATGGTGTGTGTGAGACTGCCTGAGTTGTTGTTGTAGTTGTAGTTGTTGGTCCTGGTGCCATCGTAGATTGTTTAGAATCATGTGATGAGGCGGGTATATCTGTTCCCACTGTCTCCTTCTTTGAGTTCTTTAAATCTCGCACAACTTTTTCCAACTCCGCAATCTGTCGAAGAAGGGCATGATTTGTACTTTCTTGCTGACGGGATACGTTATACCGTTGAAGAGCTTCCACATCTGGCATAATTGGAATAGCAGAAACTTCAGGTGTGATCACTTGCACAGGTGCTGTATGAACACGTGGTAAACTCGCCAGCGTCTCCTCCCGTTTAGGAGATTCTTTAGCCAAAGAAGACGATTCTCGTATTTGCACCACACGCTGTTCTTCTTTTTCTTTTTCTTGTTGTTGTTGTTGTGCTGTTCGTGCTCCACCCATTGTGGCCTGCAGCATCATCATCATACTCTCACGCTGGAGTGAATCATTACGCTCCTTCTCTCGCCCCAGTTGTTGTTCCAGACGGTCAACCTTTTCTTGGAGTTGCCGCATATGCATCTCAAACATATCCGTTGTTTTCCCAACCTGTTGTTGTTGTTGTTGTTGCTGTTGTGATTGTTGTTGTGCTGGTTGTTTTTGATGCCTTTTTCGTATATGTGACTGCAGAGACTCACTCTTTGCATACGCATCCCCACAGTGTGGACACACATACGGACATCCCACACCAGCACCACCTGCACCACCACCTGCTGCGTTACTGTTGGCATATTCATACGCCAAGAGTGTTCTTCGTTGTGCCTTTACTTCTTTTCGCAGTATTGTGTTTTCCTCATGCAGCCGCTCCCGCTCTGCCTCTGCAGAGTTCCAACGGTGTTGGGCCTCCTGCACCCGCTCACTCAACTTCACATTCATCTTCGCCAGACACTCCTGCGAACAGACAAGATACTGAATGACGAGTTGACACAGTGTGAAGAGATGGAGGATGTGCTCTGGTGTGAACATCGCCGCCTCATCACGTGTTACTCGTGCAAAGGCGAGATTTTCCACAATGCGTTGTAATGTATCCACATTGGTGTCTTTTATCAGTCGCTGCAGATCAATAGCGACTAACACTCCCCAGTCAAGCCGCTCACTCCCCTGAACGAACTCAAACGACGTTGCAGCCATATATATATATATATATATATATATTCTATATGTTTGTGTGTATATGTATGTATATGTGTGAGGGTAGAGAAAGAAGGACAAAAAACAAAACACGTCAATGTCCTCTTAATAATAATAATAATAATAATAATAATAATAATAATAATAATAATAATAATAATAATAATAATAATAATAATAATAAAGAGTAATTCTTCTTCCTCCCGCGTTACCTTTTTCTGTTGATCTTAAAAGTAACGCAGCACACCTCTTGATTTTTTTTTTTTTCTTTGTTCTTGCTGTTGGTGTCGGTTCTATTTTATTGCTCTTGTTCCACACAAAGTAAGATAATGAGAGAGAAAGAAAAAAAAGAAAGAAAGAGACATAAATAAAACAATAAAAAATAGATAAATAGATACGAAAAGTTTAAAAGTTTCAACGAAGCACCTTTATCAGAAGAGTCTATAGAATCGCATAAAACACCAGTTAGAGAATACTCACTTGTTCTTACTTACAACAAACACCTCCATAGAAGCATCAGTGTAATAGTAGCATAGCCAACACCAACACGAAGAAGAACAAGAAGTGGTAGTAGTAATGAAAACATTATCCAACCCTCTCTCTTCTTTCTTCTTTATGCTTCTCTGCCTTTTTTTTTCTTCTTTTCTTCTTTCTTCTTCTTTAAACGCTGTTATCCAGACTTTTCTTCTTTATATATATATACTCTTTTCCATTTAGTTTGTCACAAAAGAAAAGGCATCTGCCTCCCGCTCGAGCAGCTGTCGTGTGCGCCGTGTACCGACAATACGATTTAGTTCATGTGTATCAAAGCGAGAGAATAAAGTTAATGCAAATGCATTCGGTGAAGTAGCCACAAGACGATTTACAAGAGAAACATAAAAAGCAGGAAATACAGGTGGACTGTAAAAGACCATCACCTCTGCTAACTTTACAAAGTAACGCTTAAAAAAGTAGAATCGTTCCGTTACCAATAATAAGGGACGTTCCAAATCTGTAAACTGTCCAAGCGCCTTACGCTGTTGCTGTAGTGATGTATATTCACTAATAGCCGCAAAGGTATCCCGATGTTCACGAATCATATAATTACGTAATCGCACAAAATCAAAATAAGAGGGAACAAAAATAATCGTCCGCACATCCCGCTGTACAAGTGGACTAATCTTAGTTGCAAACACCTCCTGTGTGAAGAAATCAAACCGTGCATCATCACATCCCTCCACATTATTTAACTGTGGTGGTTCAAATCGTAAAAAGTGCTGTCGAACAGGCACCATCACCTGTGAAAGTACACCCTCCTCCTCTCGTCGTTGTAATAACACACGTCCAGAGTTATTTACACACGCCGCCCGCAGGGTTGCGAGTAAAGTGGCATGCGAGACATTTGCAGACATGATAGTTTGTCGATGACGACCACTATGACCTGCAAGTGCCCATCCATACACCCGCCGCATATCCGCCAATCCATGCGTTGTGTCTGTTGGCCGCTTGTTAAGAAGACGGCGGAGCACATGAGCGGCATGTTGCCAATTCTGCATTAACAACACATGCGCTTCATCAATTACACAAACCTCCACAGACGCTAAGGAGACCGCGGCATCTCCACTACGCTCCAATCGACGCCGTAGACCAAGTGGGGAACAGATAAGAAGATCACTGTTAAGAGGATGAGTGTATACACGTAGAGAGGATGGGGCAAGTCGAACACCTACACAAAAGGCATCATCTACATTACCAGCGAATTGCATCTGATACTCACGTGGACGACGTTTGAAGGTTGGATCCATTGCCTCTTCAAGTTCACTAAAGTCTTCATCAAATGTAGACAACTTTGGACAATCCTCAGGTGAGGCACGCAAGAGTTTTACAAGTGTCATCATATAACGATGGGCAATGTTGCGCATGGGTAACATAATGAGTAGACGCGTCTTACCAAATCCACGATCACGCAATTCATACTCTTCATACTCTTCTTCATCATCATCTTCGTCCTCATTATCACTTTCATCCTTCGCTTTTTTCTTACTACCCTTCTTGCTACTACTATTACTACTGTTCTTATTCTTATTCTTTTCCTTCTTTTTCTTCGCCTTTCGTTCTCGTAGAATGGCATCATGGGCCAACACAACAGATCGTGCCTTAAACCAGTGATTAAGCACATGTAGTAAAAATATCTCACGCCTAGAGTCGGCATTATCCCATGAGCGACAACAGTCTATCATATCTGGATAACCCTGCAAGAGATCCAGTAAACCACGTTCTTCCTGTGTCATTGGGCCACGTGATTCCGCCGTACAATACTCCAACCATTTCTTCCACAATGTCTCATGCATATACGGAGGTCGTTCTTCCTTCTTTTCCTGTTTCTGTTGTTTACCCCCTCCATTCGCCAATCCATTACCCAAACTAGATACCTTATCAAGAGCAAAGGGTTTATGTAGAAAGTGTTCCACAGCATGTGTAGAGGCCGAGACGGCGATATTACTATCCCCGCATGGTTGTGATTGCATGGGAGTTGTGTCAATATCACCATGACGGTCCTGATGATATTTTAAGAACCACGGATCTGTGGCACTCACAACATGCTGCAGTGCATTGAGACTTGTTGTGCCGTGATGGAATTGGGGAAGTAACTGCGCTGTTTCCTTCTCTTCCTCATTCTCATCCTCATCATCATCTTCATATGCATCCTCCTTCGCCATATCCAACTCCTCACTTTCTTCTTCTTCATCATCATCTTCATCATCATCATCATCTTCATCACCATAATCAACATCATCGTAGCCTTCCTCATCATCCATCTCCTGATCTTCCATTCCTTCTTCTTCTTCCTCCTCCTCCATTTCTTCAATTTCTTCTACTTCTTCTTCTTCTTCTCCACTGGACAGATAGGCTCTCCAATCCTCACTATCCTCACTCAATTCATCTACCGCCTTCATACCACCCTTCTTCTTCTTCCTCTTCTGTTTATTATTATTATTATTATTATCCTTATTACCATTATCCGTCGTCTTACTCGCATTCTCACCCTTCCCCTCATTATTATTATTAATATTACGATGATTATCTTGTTCTTCTTCTTCTTCTTCACCGCTGCGTTTACGCTTTGCTCCGCGGCCATTCCCCACACCACCAGCCCCAAGCAGTTGACGAAGCCGCATCAACGATTGTTCCTCTCGGCGCAACTCCGCCTCAGAGTCTGTTGACACCGCCCCGCCGTCGTGATCATCACCGCTCTCGCTGCTGCTGATCGCCGCGAGTTCCTCCGCTTCTCGCTTGGCAGCGTAGTAATCCACACGTTCATTATGTTTCGCACGGCGTTCTTCTTTAGATGCGCCCTTTGTGCCACGACGCCGATGTGAGCTTTGGCGTTTTTGTTTAGCCTTTAGTCGTTTGAAGAAACCACCTGGTCTGCCCATATCACACTTGTATTAATGTTATTTTGTATGATCTTTTCTTATTGCTGCCTTTTTCTTTTTCTTTTGTTATTATTATTATTATTATTATTATTATTATTATTATTATTATGGTGGATTCAATGGTGCGTACTATCGTCTTTTATAAGTGATGATAAGAGAAATAGAAAAAAAAAATAGTGGAATATAAAGGAAACTCACACCCTTAAAAAAAATAAATACATGATAAAAACAAATAAAAACAAATATATATATATATATATATATATATATATATATATCTCCTTTTCTTTCCTTTCGTTCCATATTCGCACTATTATGTATGTTGTCATGTTTTTTTTTTTAATCATAGTAAAATTAGACCTTACTTTGCAAAGACACGCAGTATATACAAATCACCTCATTGATGTAATTCTCTTTTCTCTGCGGCCTCCCTGTATAGTTCAGCAGCAGCGAGTACTTCTTTCTGGGCCTGCAGGACATCCACACATGCATGCAGCACACGGCGGAAGTGCTCTTGACATGCACACAACGCCGGTGATGGAACAGCAGCAAACCACCGCAGGGGATCTCGCCCCTCACATTCATTCATCTCCACAAGAGACCACTTATCATCATCATTGTTGTTGTTATCATCATTATTATCATTATCATCAAGATTGGAATCCTTGTCATTATCGTCACAATTCTTCTTCTTCTCATTGCCACTGTTCGTATCTCTCACGATGGCGGGAATTCTAATGCCAATAAGTGGCTGGACGGCGCCCTCTTGGGTTGGCACAGCATCCCACGCAAGTAAAAGCCCCGAACGCTCCATTTCACGTTGAGTGACGTTAAATGAGAAGTGCGCCTCCTGCATGGAACTGTGCAGAACTGCACGTGAGTTTTCCAGTACTTCCAAGGACTCCATCGTAGCATCAAAGAGAGAATCCAAATGCTTTTCTTCTTCTTCTTGTTTTTGTTGTTGATGTTGATACTGATGATATTGTTCTTCTTGTGGAGATGGCAGGCGACTACCGTCAGAGGAGGGGGTTCCCGTCTCACTCATCTCAGCAGTCCGAGGAGTTAATTGAGCCATTATCGTTAGTAGACCGTATTCATACTAAACAACAGATATATATATATATATATATATATGTATTGGTGTATTATTAGTAAAGAGTAGAAAATAAACAGAAACCATAAGAAGAAAAGAAAAAGAAGAAGAAGAAAAAAAAGGAGAAGTAGTAAACATTTCTTTTCTCACTCTAGATATAAAAGAGATGTGGGAGTGCATTACCGAAAAGAAAAAAAAAAAAAAAATGCACACACACACACATACACACCAAAAAGAAAAGAAAAAAAGAAATTACCCAATAGCGGATGGTACCAAGAGTAAAAATAAACCAAAATAACATCAGGAAAGACAGAAAGAAAAGAGATACAAACAAACAAACAAAAAGAAAAAAAAAAGAAGAGCTGGAGCTTTCATTGCTAGCGATGAAGGGAGAAGAACACAGCTCTGGAGAAATGAGAAAAATGAGACATGGCGCCCGGAAAACCACCAAATAAAAAACAAAAAAAAAACAAAATGAACAAACGAAAGAAAAGAATTCAAAATAAGGAAAAAAAAAACCACAAAAGAAAAAAAAAAACAACGTATGCGAGAAATAACGAAAATAGATAATGATGATAATGAAAAATAACAATGAAGAGAATTAAACACCACACCAATGGGAGAGAAAGAGAAAGAGAAAGACAGAGAGAAAGAGAATGGGGAGAATACCAGCATAAACAAAGATAAATATGTAAACAACTATACTTCATCCTTAAATTTATCACTACACATATTGAGTTGATACGCATAATCAGGAGATGAAACACACAATTACCTCTTTTTTTTATTTTATTTTATTTTCTCTTTTCTTTTCTTCTCCAGTTATTTTTTTTTTATTTTTCCCTTTTCTCATTCGTTGATGTGTAATCTTCTAGTCTTTCTATCCCACCTGATCTCTCTCTCTCTCTCTCTCCCTTTCTCTCCCCTTCTTTGTATGTGGATCTCCTATACTGTCATTCTTATCATTCTCACTGCTTTTACGCAGACGTGAGAAAAAATAAAAAATAAAAGTGGATTGGTACCACACAGATCTACGTATTGCTTACTCTGCTTCTGTGACTTTTTTCATTTAACTTCCCCCAATCCCACTATTATTATTTATACTTTTTTTTTTTGTTCCTTCTTTTTTCTTTTTTTACCTTTCTACTTTCAATATGGTTTTTTCTTTATAGTAATAGTAGTAGTAGTAGTACTAATATTTACTACTATTGCTGCTGCCATTATCACTGAACCCTCCCATCTACAATGCTTCTCTCTCTCTTTTTTTCTTTTCCACACGTGCACACATAAACAAAGGTAAATAGACATAATAATAATAATAATAATAATAATAATAATAATAATAATAATAATAAAAAAAACGCACACATACACACACAGACGTACATAGAGAGAAAGCAATAAACAGGATGAGATGTATACTGGAGACAAAACAGAAATCCCACCCTTCTCCTTCTACAATATCCCACACCATAAAGAAACCCAGGCGAATTCTCAATATATAGATATATGGTTTTTTTTTTTTTTTCCAATTCTTTTCTTTCATTCACAAACAAACACACACACACACACACACACATCCCCTCTTTCTGATGTTATTGGTTTCTTTCTCTTTTCTTTTGTTTTGTTTTTTTGTTGTCCTTTTATTCAAAAGAAATGAAGCAATAATAATAACAGTACTAGTAATACTAATAACAACGTCAATCACATAAACGGAAATGGCTTGCCATAATCATAATAGGCAAATAATAATAGTAAAACTAGCAATTGCAAATAAACAGTAATCCCTCTCTACAAACAATGAAAAAAAAAAATTAAATATATATTTTTATGGTAATACCATTATCTCTACAGAAACGGATTATGCAGAGATAAAAAAAAACTCTACCCAAATATGGATGTTGTACGCACATATATGAAATTCCCTCTTAGTGCGATTTCTACCAAATATACTCTCTCACTTATATTGGCATCATTTTCCCAGAGAAAACCCTTTTGTTTTGTTTTTTCTTCTTTTCTTTTGCTATCAAATTCCCTTGTTTCCCATTCTCTCTTTTTTCGTTTTGTTTTGCTTTGGATCTTTGTAGTACTTTCCACCAACGCCAGCACTATTATTATTACTATTACTATTATTATTATTATTATTATTATTATTATTACTAACATTGATTATTATTAATATTGCCTCATTTCAAATGGATTTTTTTTTTTCCTCCTACACATGACATTCCTTTTAGTCATCTCCATTCATTGCGAGATACTCCTCCTTCTTATCACCTATCTGGACGGTTTTGGTTAACTCATCCTCCACTGGCTGTTCCTTCTGTTGTTGTCCACTGAGGGCATTCAGTACATTCAATGGATTGCCGCCGGAATGCATTTCCACCTGCACTCGCAGTGCCCCATTAGGCCCCACTGCATTCATCACAACATCCTTTGGCACCACCAGTGTTTGGGCACCTTTTTCTTCACGTTTCTCCAGTTTTGCAATACTGTTGTTGTTCTCATCAAATAACTCAATACTGTGTTGGGGAATCTCACCCTTGCGAGAGAAGATGAAGAAGACGAGATCTTTAATGTTGTTAATATCATATGGACCAATGGCATCTGCGGCACCTCCTTCTTTGCGTACTTCGAGCCTCACCACATAGTAAGAGCGTTCATTAAGAAAACCATGTGAAGAGTACGGGTTTAACATTTGATTGAATAGTTGTGGTACTGTCCACGTCACAATCACTGTGTTTTCCTCTGGAATGCGGCGCAGGACGAGGCTGTCATCATCAAAGCAGAAGTGTACAAGGAGTATATCATCTCTAGAGATAAGTTCCATCATGTCTGCACGTGAACAGGCGTTCCAGTGACCGCAGCGTTCCGTGTTGGATGGGATGGTATGTGCGGTGTGCTGCCGCATGGCAATACCAGCGCTGTTGGCGAAGTAATAGGAGTACTTTGGAATACCAGAGGCCTTATAGTGGATGTAGAGTCCAATATCTCCATTCACGCCGAGAGTCATGTGGAAGTGAAACTTGGCTTTTGTGAAGCAGACAGCGTTGTCACTGTCAAGAGTGTGGCCGGGTGAGTAGGAGGAGAACTTTTCAATCCGCCATGTGAAGCGGCGACCTTCCTTATCTGCGGGAATCATCTCCCCATGACGTTTCTTGGCGAATAAACCCATTTTGCTTTTTCTGTCTCTAGAATAATAAATACTATTACAAAATAGATAGATAGATAAATAAGGAGAAAGAGAGAGAAAAAAAAAAAACAAGGTACACATACCATTTCAAAGAATCACATAACAATGATATTATATAAATGCACACAGAGTAAACAATCAAACAGATAGGAAAAGAAAGAAAGAGATAAAGGGAGGTAACAATTCAAATACAAATATATATATGATAATATATAACAAGAGGAATAATATATATATATATATATAACAATGATAATATCAGTGTCGAGCCATCTACCAGGAGCTATGTGCTCGTCCAACCTCCTCGCATATGACGTCAGCGCATTTGCGAGCGCTACCACTACGTCGTTCCACATATGGCGATCTATATAACTGTTGATCAACGTACATCTTCTGATAACGCCACTCTGCAGATTCCAGAAAACATGTCGTTACCCTACAGTAGAGAGGATCCTTCGCATATACCCCATCTGCACTCTGCTGCCGCATTAAACGCTGTTTATACTGCTGAGCATAACCAGGCGTAGATTTGGTACTTCTTTTAGCGGGAACACTCTCAGGCGTCTGGTATAAAGTCATATCATGTGGATGATATTCATAAGTTTCTAGTAGTAGCTCTTCTTCACTCTCAGTACTATATGGAAGTGTACCCGGACTCCTTGAAAACGAGACAACTTTCCCCTTCTTTCCTTTCTTCTTTGTTATTGACCCCACTAACGACGGCGTTTTTGTTCCGCCGCTGTTATTATAGTTATTGTGGTTCTTGTCATCCCTGATCCAGGAAGCCCGACGGGTAAGCATTGGTGCCCATGGCCGGTGACGGAGGTGCGGTGGCGTCCCACAAGGTCCATCTATCATATCCACACACCAAGCAGTGGATGACTTTCGTTCCGTCGTTGCGAATGGTCTCGGGATTTCTGTTCTCGGTGTGATATTCTCCTTCTCATCCGCAGCAGACCATCGCAATGCATCATCCGCAGTGCATGCAGTGTTGGGTTCCGCAGAATCCACATGTGCCACAACACACTCGGCATCTGCTGGAATTGCAGCTGGAATATGAGAAGAAGAAGAAGTGGGAATAGCAGCAGAAGCAATATTCCTCACTAATACACGGAAGTGAGTCAACTCCTCCCACCGGAGCTCATTCCGTTCCATCACTTCATGTCGCTCTACGTGACGCCGGTGCCGAATCTCAACCCGTAGCAATTCACGAAATACAGCAGCCTGTAGATAATCATCACCATACAAACCTGTATCAAACACATCAAACCCCCATTGCGAAGAGGCAGCTTGTCTATCCTCATCAAAACTCAAACTATCACGCATATGCCATTGCGTTTCATCAGAGTATGCACCAGGGGCGGTAGTAGAATCAGCAGCAAGAGGGATACCATCAGCACCTCCACCACTACTGTTGCTACCGCCTCGTCTCTTGCTTGAGCGTCCCTTATGCATGCTTTTTGCGTCCCCAACTCCAGGAGATGTATCCTGTTCAATTGGCACTACCACATTTGGTGAGTCTTGCTCATCCGTTAATAACTCCAAACCATGGTGTGCGGTTGTAACACACACTTCTTTTTTCGCCTTCATACCAGTAGTACCTGCCTTTCTGCCATGAGATGAGAGTGGTCTTACTGAGCTTGAAGAACTGCTCACCACAACGTTGGATTTATGGTATTCTTCTTCCACTTGATGGTGCATTCTTTTCTGCTGAAACTCAGAATTACCGTCTTCAGGGAAAATACAATAGTCTAATTCAGCTAACAGGTTTGCTTTATTATTATTCTCTGACGTGAAAGCGGGGATGGTAGGAACGCCATGTGTTCCTTCGCAATTGGCATTTTGGGCCATTTCATCACTTGTCTGAACGGCGACATGCAATGCCATCAGTGTCTGTGAGGTTCGACTAGATCGTACAGGGACGCCTATGCGAGGAGCGGTATTTTCCTCTTCCTTGATATCAGTCTGGACAGCCACTACGGTAGTACTCAACCCAGGGAAATTAGTTTGTATTGTCTCCGAAAGCAAATAGAGCTGCTTCCACTGTTCCGCAGTGTTGTTCGGAGGGGCCGCAGCTGTGGTTATTGCCACCGGAGAAGCGATAGTACTACTACCAAAGTAAGCTGCTTCCGTCTGAGCAGAACGGACCCCACTCCTATGCTCGGGCGTTTGAGCAACCCCATCTAACTTCATACATATATCAGCAACAGTATTTAGTTTATCGGACCAATAATATACTGGATCTAAAGCAGCAAGGTCCTCTCTTACAAGTTTTGGTGGTGTTTCAGGCTGTTGCATGTACTGTTTCTGGTGTTCTTCCATGACACTCTGTTGCCGAGACGACTCCGAAGCGGCAATTGTCTCGGATTCACACTGAGCACGTGCTCTTGAGGTCGCCTCAGCAGCTAGCCGGCGTCTCTCGCGGTTAATGGCACTCCGGGAACTGCGCTGCAGGTCTCGCTCGAGGGCAGTTGCTGCACGAAGGACCTCTGCCTCTATTGTGTGTCGTTCAGCAGATTCGGCGTCTAGCAGCGCGGCAAATTCGGCTGCCACACGTGCTGCCTCACGTTTTACAGCAGCAATGACATGTTCCCCCATTAGTTCTAGCAGACGGGTGAAGCATTTATCCTCATCTTGCTCCAGAGCATCTCGCTTAGCCTCCTCCCTGTCCACTAAGCGTTGACGGGTCTCCAGATTGCGTTTTGCCGCCTCACGCCGTGCAACCACAATGGCCTCTTTTCCCATTAGCTCCAGCAGATGGGTGAAGCAATCGTCCTCATCTTGCTCCAGAGCATCTCGCTTAGCCTCCTCCCTGTCCACTAAGCGTTGACGGGTCTCCAGATTGCGTTTTGCCGCCTCACGCCGTGCAACCACAATGGCCTCTTTTCCCATTAGCTCCAGCAGATGGGTGAAGCATTCATCCTCATCCTGCTCCAGAGCATCTCGCTCAGCGTCCTCCCTGTCCACTAAGCGTTGACGGGTCTCCAGATTGCGTTTTGCCGCCTCACGCTCTACAGCAGCAAGGTCCTCTCTTACAAGTTTTGGTGGTGTTTCAGGCTGTTGTATGTACTGTTTCTGGTGTTCTTCCATGACACTCTGTTGCCGAGACGACTCCGAAGCGGCAATTGTCTCGGATTCACACTGAGCACGTGCTCTTGAGGTCGCCTCAGCAGCTAGCCGGCGTCTCTCGCGGTTAATGGCACTCCGGGAACTGCGCTGCAGGTCTCGCTCGAGGGCAGTTGCTGCACGAAGGACCTCTGCCTCTATTGTGTGTCGTTCAGCAGATTCGGCGTCTAGCAGCGCGGCAAATTCGGCTGCCACACGTGCTGCCTCACGTTTTACAGCAGCAATGACATGTTCCCCCATTAGTTCTAGCAGATGGGTGAAGCATTCATCCTCATCCTGCTCCAGAGCATCTCGCTCAGCCTCCTCCCTGTCCACTAAGCGTTGACGGGTCTCCAGATTGCGTTTTGCCGCCTCACGCTGTGCAACCACAATGGCCTCTTTTCCCATTAGTTCTAGCAGATGGGTGAAGCAATCGTCCTCATCCTGCTCCAGAGCATCTCGCTCAGCGTCCTCCCTGTCCACTAAGCGTTGACGGGTCTCCAGATTGCGTTTTGCCGCCTCACGCTCTACAGCAGCAATGACCTCTCTTCTCATTTCTGATGGTGTTCCAGGCTGTTGTATGTACTGTTTCTGGTGCTGTTGCACAGTATTATTTCGTTGAGATGATACATTGCTTGGTGTATTATGAGGGTGCTGTTTGGTTTTAATGATATTGCTGTTGTTATATACTTCGAAGGTATCCTCATCTTCACTTATAGAATCTAGCGAAGCAATGCTTTCGCTTGGCGTAGTAAGGTATTCTCTACTGTCGTTTGGTTGTCCTGCTTCTCTCTGTTGATGCCTTTCCTCGTTTGAAGTATCGAGAGCATTTATAGTGTAAGCACCGCGATGTCCCCTTTTTCTAGTGATGAGGAATAATCCGTGACACTTTTCGTAGTGTGAAGCAAGGAGGTCGTACGATGCTTTGCGCCACTGCAACCATCGTGTTGCGAGTTCGCCTGCGGTGCTGTTTTCTATGGATGAGAAGGATGCAATACTAGCTGATGTCAGTGCTGTTGATACAGTAGACACCAATAGGGGACATAGTTTCTCTGATGCTGAGGGTGAATGAGAAAAGCAAGATGAGGTTCTAGAGGATGGGGATGAATCTTGAAACAGTGTAGATGAACTAGAGCTGAGCAATGATGTGAAAGAGTGATGAAGTGGCATCGACTTGCGTTGTTTAGGTGATTTTTTGAAACGATATGTACCACCTAACGTTTTCTTATCGCTACTCTCACCTTTTCTAGATTTACGCGAAATACATTGCGGCAGTTGTGCGGGCATTGCGGCAGACGGGGCAATGCCGACATTACTACTACTACTACTACTACTACTACTACCGCCTTTCCACGAACGCAAGTCAAGTGGCTTGCCTTTTCTTACACTTACACTTTTACTTGTTTGTGGTTGTGATCTACCCACATTTGCTTCCACACTTGTACCCGTATGATGAGCTGAGGAAAGCTGTCTATCTAGATCTCTTGATGATGCCTTTCTTGTCCAAGGCTGTGAATGACTACTCTGTCTCGCCTTTTCAGTGGGATTATTGCGTGATGTAATTAAGTTAAATGGTGTGATGGGCCTTCTGGAATGCCGCTGCATCCTCCCGAGTGAGTACTCAATGGCATCGAGGTGTCGATCTACATTCGCCACGGAGGAGCCAATGGATTCCATCACTCTTCCTCCTGGGTCTATTTCTATACTCTCACCACCCCACTCTCTCCCTTTCCTTTTTTTTTTTTTTGTTGAGATCGGGAAGACCTAGTCAGTAATTCAAAACAAAAAACAAAAAAAAGAAGAATATGGAGGGAAACACAAATAGATTATGACAAATACCTCTGTTTTTTTTGTTCACAATATAGTATCCAATAGAAAAAAATAAAAAACAAAAAAAACAAAAGAAAAGAAACAACAAGTTAAAGTAAACCATTTATCCAAACGAGAAACAGCGGTATAATTCAGAAAAAGAAACAAAAGAGGATCCAAATACAAATAGAGTTTCCTTCTCATTCAGAGGAACAACCGCGACGCAAATTCACCACCATCTCTCTTCTTTTCTCTTCCGAACTGCATCAAAATCCGGCGAGTAAATAAGCACACCAAATAGGGTCAAACATAACCAGAATTGTTCCACACTTTACAGCTATTAGTCTATAGGATCAATAAAATGCAACTCTCACTCTCAATATATTTTTTCTTTCTTTGAGTGAATATTGCACCTTTATCATTATTTGTTGTACCACAGGAGAGGCCTGATGCTCTTATATGTCAGTGAGGTGAACGTATTCATGGCTCATCACATCGACGGCAGCAACAAATCCAGAATTACAGAAAGAATTTTATTTATTTATTTTTTTTTATTTTTTTTGTAAAACTCTTCTTTGAGCCGTCATAGGAATATTGATCAACCTAACAGCACCACCAGACCTCTTATCAAGAGAGAAAAACACAAATAACGAGTGCCTTCAAACAGCTGCAGTTACACCCTCGTGAGGGAAGGTTTCTCTCATAGGGTCGTATTTACCAGAGCAACCCAAGCTCTCAAGTGCTTCGTAGCATTGGGAATGTGAAGACGGGAAATTCAAAAAAACAAAAACAAAAACAAAACACACAGACAGACACAGACACAGACACAGAGAAGTATATGTAGTTAATTTTTTTTTTTTTCTGTTTCCACAACATAATACTATTTTACCCGGGGAAAATAGAAATAACAAACAGGGGGTTCACCAAAGCATAAGAAAACACATAAATGCATAGAAGAGGAGCGATATCTGCAAAAATAAATAAATAAACAAACAAACAACAACCCCTCATGAGTGCACATCTCTCATTAGAGGATGAAAAGAGGTAATTTTTTTTTTTTTTCGTGTCGTTGTTATTGTTATTTCCTTTTTTTTCTTTCTATCTCTCCAATCACCGCAATTTTTTCTCTATGCTTTGAAGTCTTGAAAGAATTTCCTTGGGATTATCAGAGAGAACCGGAATGGCCTCCACTTCATCCATCTCGGCTTCAAGCTCATCAAGCATCTCAGCAGTCAACACGGGACCAGTCGAAGATCTGCCCAAACGACCACGCCCACCATCATCACTACTCCCCTCATCTTCTGAAGTATCACTATTGGCATCACGGTGTCGTTTTTTGGTAGATTTCTTTCTCGTCGTTTTTACTGTTTTCGTCGCTTTTGCTGTGGCTTTGAGGGGTGGTCGTCCACGGCCTCGCTTTACTGGTTTTTGGGGTGTTGGTGCCTCTGAACTGCTGCTGCTGCTGCTGCTGCCACTACTACTGCTACTGCTGCTGTCACTCTCTGAAGAGTCTTGAGAGGATGATGAGGAAGAGGCGGAAGAAGAAGACGAAGATGAACGTGCGGCCCGACGTCGCTTTAGTGGAGGTTCACGCAATGTTTTCTTTTTTTTCTTTTGCGCCTCTACTTTTGAGACATAACTCTGAAGGAGTGTTTGTTCCCCTTCATCATCGTCAATGACTCCGTCTGCTCGCAACTGTTTTTCTCGTTTTGTGGTCGTCTTGCTACTATTACTACTACTACCGCGTCCTCTACGACTTTTCATATCGGTGGTAGCAGTAATTTCTTCTTGACTACTCTTCTTTTTTCTTCCACGCGTCTGCCCTACACTCTTCTCTTTAGACTTCTCCTCCTGACGTTTCTGTTTCTCATTTAATGGCTTACACTCGGCTTGAGCGAAAGAACACTCCCAGTAATCAGGAGTGGGCGTAAGTTTCTCTGGCAACTCACGCCACTCTCTACAGCGATCACAACGGACCCAGTGAATAACATCATCATCACCATTTGTTTCCGCCTTTAATGAATGTTTCTTCTCCTTTGTTGGTTCCTCAACCTTTTTCGGTCTCCCTCTCCCTCTTTTAACTGGAACCTCTTCATTTGGTGAGACTCTTGTCGTTGTCGTTGCCGTTGTTGTTGTTGTTGTTGTGGTGGTGGTGGTGGCGGTTGCTGCTGGTTTTGTTTCTGTGGCTTCTGTAGCACTGTTGACAGCCAACCGCAGTCGTAGTCTTGGACGGTTTGCGTTATCCACACTACCAACACTAACACTACCAACACTACCGGATTCACTCTTCTCTTGTCTGTTCTGCTGGGGAACAAGCCGCAGTACAGGTCTGGACGACCCACCTGCACTATTACTATTATTACTATTACCAATACCACGAAGGTTTAGACTAGCCCCCACAGAGGGGTTTGAAGTAGTCTTAGTAGTAGTCTTAGTATTAGTAGTAGTAGAGGCTTGTTTTTCAACAGAAGACTCTGCAGCCTCAAGCCGTGGGGGAAACATTTTCGTCAACTCATCCGCCATCACTAATGTACCGCCTATACCCAAACCACCACCACCACTACCACTACCACCACCTACAGCAGTTGTATTTGGTGTATCCAGCAATAATGATTGTGGGATCACAAGACCACCTTCCTGTGCTTCTCTTTGTTCTTCCTGCGTCTGTGCATCTCTCGCCGCGCGATTTCCAATCTTGACGAGTTCCTGACATGCCACGACGAGTGGACTGCCGAGGCCATTGTATAACTCACAGTTACTGCGCATTAACACCAATAGTTCCTTAAGGCCGGTGTAGTCCTCCACCTCCGCATCCCACACACTACAATAGAGAGAGGCTACAGAAACCGGACGCTTTACACGGCGATAGTACTGCGGTGCCTGCCATTCAGCAACGGGAAGAAGAAACTCAACGGCAGTGGCGGCGGATGCGCTCCAAACAGCATCCACAACTTTAATTAAACTGCAGCGACGGCGTAGTGTACGTGAGAGTGTCTTGTCTTCCCCTTCACTCTCTTCCAGGAGTGGGAAGAGCAGAACCTCATCCATGAGTCGCTGCACACGTATGGATTCATAATACATGGCTAGACTGCGTTCCTGTGCTTGTTGCCGTTTGGCCTCTGTGTGATCATCACCGCCTCGTCTTCTTCCTCTTTGTTCGCCTACACCACTTCTGTGATTTGTTGTTGTTGTTGTTGTTGTTAAAAATGTCTCATCCCACCGCTCTCTGCGCCATTGCCGCATGAGAATCGCCAACGTCGAGGCGAAAACACGGCGATCCGACACACCAGACAAATGAGTAGCGAATGATGTACGGAAGGTGTTTGTGATATCTACCGCAACAAAGTGATACCACAACATGGATGTGGATGAGTTACACTGGGCAGATACAGCTGCCATCTTTCCTTCTCACTCTCTATCTATCTATCTCTTTGTCTAACAGACACACAAACACAAACAGGAGTAAAAGAAAGAATGGAAAGAAAGAAAAGAGAGAGAGAGAGAGAGAGAGAGAGAGAGAGAGACAGTGCTTCCCTCTCCCTCTTTTGGTAGGTGTATATATGTGTGGGTTGCCTTCCTTTCTCCCGTTCACACTTTGAAGACTGAGAATGAGAGTGAAAGTTAAAAAGAAAGAAAGAAAGAAAAAGAAAAATAAAAAAATAAAAAAGATGAACATATGTATGAAAGAGTGTTGCCTCCCTCCTTCCATTCAGAAGTAAAATACACAGATCAAGGAGAAAATAATCATTACAGAGACTTTTAACTCCCTCAGGAAAGAGATAAATAGCAAACAAAAAAAGAGAGAAAGGAAATGCACACCTATATGTGTGTATACTCACATAAAAGGAAGAAATTAAAAACAAACAAACGAGGAAACTTTTTATTTTTTATTTTTTTCGGTTCCCTTTCACTGAAAGAAAACAATATCTTCGCACTAACGGATGCCACTCATTTCAATTTGCATACAAAAATAGAAAAATAAGAATAAAAAAAAAAATGTCTTGCCTCCAGCTATTAGATGCTGGTTTCAGAGGGGAAAGAGTATTTGTATCCCAATCCACCTCTCTCCTCACATCTTACCCCAAAAGGTAGAAACAAATGTGAGAAGTTCCTCTTTAATAGATGAGATATTCGCCTCAACCGTGCGGGCGGAGTTCCCTTTGGTTTCTGCGGCTGCAAGTGCACTATTCAAAGCGGGATGAATCGTCACATTAGGGCATCGTGTGAGAATAGCATCATACAATGCCCTGCAGGCTCGTGCTGGATTGACGCCTTCTTTTTCTTTTTCTTCCATTGCCGTGGAGTCGGCCATATCTTCACCGCGGAGTGCATGCAGAACAGGTCCAGGGAATTTCGCCCAATGCGCCGTACTTGCAATAACAAGTGGTGGACCTTCTGATGATATCGTGTTATTATTATTATTATTATTATTATTATTATTATTATTATTATTGTTATTGTGTTTTCTTTGAAATTGACGATATTGTTTGGCGGCAAAGACGGCCACAGCGGTGTGTGGATCCAGCAATCTACCGGAAGCCTCATACACTTCTTTAATAGTGGCTGCACACTCCTTCTCACTACAGTGGGCTGACCAAAAAGTTTCTTGCAAACGTTTTAATACATCTCCTTGTAATGTAAAGTGTTTTTCCGTCTCTAATCTTTGCATTTGTTCCCGCACAAAGTTTGTATTTCCATCTGAAAGTAGATAAAGAAGTCGTTCCACATTAGAAGCTTTTAATATATCAATAGACGGTGATGCCGTTAATGTTAAATGTCGATGACGAATATCATAATGTCCAGTTTGCACAAACTCATGCAATACATCATTACAATTAGAAGCCACTACAAGTGTGCCAAGAGGAAGTCCCATTAACTTTGCAAATAGAGCGGCAAGAATATTACCAAAGTTTCCACAAGGCACCACAATATCCAGTTTATCATTATATCGTACTTGTTGCTCTTGTACAAGTCGACGATAGGCCCAGAAGTAATACGCCACTTGTGGAATTAAACGACCCCAATTAATACTATTCGCTGATGATAAACGCACATGAGCCTTTGACCAGAGTTCTTCTGCTAAGTTACGATCAGAGAAAAGTTTCTTTACTGTATGTTGACAAAAATCAAAATCAGCCTCCACACCAAATACACGCACAGAAGTGCCATTATCATAAGAAAGCATTTGCATTTGCTGAACGGGTGAAACCCCATGAAGTGGATAAAGCACCATCACACGTGTAGGACTGCCGGCATTTACAAATCCACTAATTGCCGCTACACCCGTATCCCCAGAAGTAGCAGCGAGAATAATATATAATGGCATCTCATCACTGTTATGATCCGCTTGCACAGCGAGATCGAAATAACGGGGAAATAACTGCAAAGCAAAGTCTTTAAATGCCGCAGTTGGACCATGATAGAGTTCTAAAATCCACATATCACTCCAAAAGGAGTCCCCCGCATTCTTATTCTTATTATTATTATTATTATTATTATTATTATTACTATTATTATTATTAGAAATCAATTTCGTGATGGGACATACATCTATGAGTTGACTCCAGCGAGAAGAATCATAAGCCTCTGTGAGGACTCTTTGCAGTTGTTGTGGCTCCACACTTCTGTCCACCAGACGCTCCAACACACACTGCGCCACTTCCATGTATGTAAGGATTGACGTTGTGCAGATATACTCCAGTTGGGAAAGAGGCATTTGTGGAATACGGCACATATTGAAAAGACCCCCATCGGGAGCTAAACCATCACGTACAACTGTAAGGAATGTAAGAGGTTCATTTTTATTTTCTCCACGTGTGGAGGTAAAGTGATGTGTTTGATCTTTTATAAGAGTCCACACATCTGTGATAACTTCATCAATGGTACTCTTTTCAGTCCATATAAAGCGATAATCATATGGGGTTTCTCCTGGTGAGGTGAGGGGGGCATTATTGGACTCCATAAGAACATGAAATAACGGTAATTGTTCTTTTTCTTCTGATTGTTTGAATAGAGGTGGTTTAAATGTATGGAGGAGGGCGTTTGTTACTTCTTCTTTAATAGCAGCAGTGGCTGAGCCAGTAACCCTCAAATACATCATTTTTCTCTGCTTATATATATAGATAGATATAGATAACTTTCTTCTCTTTTCCTATACAAATGTTTCAGGAAGAAGAAAAAAAAAAAAACAATAAAATAATACAATTGAATAGAAGCCAATATACCCCGTTAAACATTGAAGAAGAAGATTCCATGTATTGTTTATCTCTACATACATACAGATATATATATATATATATATATATATAT